CCGCGCGCCGCAGGCCCGCCGGCTCGGTGCGCTGTCCAATCAGAGGGGAGGGGGCGGGACCCAGAGGGAGTTTTTTTGCCGCGAAAAGGCCACACGTGGGGGTGTGGGGGGGCAGAGGTCTATGGCGGGGCGAGAGACAAAAAGAAGAGCCAGAAGCTTCAATATGGATTGGCGCCATGGCCGCAGAGGCGCGTCCCCATTGGCTGATCCCTCAGCATGGCGGCCCATGGGGGACAGCGGCGGCTGTTTTGAACACGTGGAGGCTATTTGGAAAGCGGGGCCCGGGTTTACCGAGTTAGAGGCGCGCTGCTGCACGCCCTCAGTCAGGCGGGACCCACCGCCTTCCTCCCTCTTCACCCCCCCAGTCCCGGCCCCACGCCGCGCCTCACCGCCGCATCTCTGTTCTCCTCAGGCACGGCCGCCACGCCAGTCCCCAGGACGGCCGGCTCGGGGCTGGGGGCGCGTCGCTTCCTGGCGGGGCTAGGGGAGAAGAAGGAGTAGAGCGTCTTCTGGCCGATCATCCCGGAGCCGAGGAGACAGCGAACGCGCACCACCCGGGAACCTGCGAGGCTGGCCCTGGCTGTGGCGGTCAGCAATTGGCGCCAAGCGACCCGCGCATGCTCCGAGCGGGGGGCTTTGCTGGGGGCGGGGGGCGGTGGAAGGCCCAGTGCGCATGTGCGGGAGGGGCTGGAGTGCAACGCCTCTGGAGGAGGTGGGGCGTGCAACGGTGCCCGCGGGCCTATTCATTCATGCCCTCGACCCACCTCTGCCCTTTGGAAAGGTTCTCCAGGCTCAGCTGCAAGAAGAAAAGACTGGCCGGGCGCGGTGGCCCACGCCTGTAATCCTAGCGCTTTGGGAGGCTCAGGCGGGAGGATCGCTTGAGGCCAGAAGGTCGGAGCTGTAGTGAGCTTTGATCGCGCCATTGCACTCCAGCCTGGGCGACAGAGCGAGACCCTGTCTCTGGGGATGGGAGGGAAAAAAAGTACCTGGCCCTTAAGGGTGTTGTTGGAGTGCAATGAACAATATAATAGTATTGTCCGGGCTTGACGGCTCACGTCTGTAATCCCAGCACTGTAATCCGAGGCGTCTCAAAAACAGAAACAAACAAATACTATTATATTTTGTGTGTGTGTTTGTTTTGTTTTTGAGACAGAGTCTCGCTCTGTCACCCAGGCTGGAGTGACCTCTGCCTCCCCGATTCAAGCGATTCTCATGCCTCAGCCTCCCCAGTAGCTGAGATTACAGGCGCACGCCGGCTGAGTTCTGTATTTTTTAGTAGAGACAGGGTTTCACCATGTTGGCCAGTCTGGTCTCGAACTCCTGACCTCAGATGACCTGCCCACCTCGGCCTCCCGAAGTGCTGGGATTACAGGCGTGAGCCACCATGCCCTGCCAATAGTATTTGTTGAACTGTTACATACATTATCTCACGCAATTTTCATGGCCTATTTTATGACAATAAACTAAGGCTTAGCACAAACATTTTGCCTAATGTATCAGGCTTGTGGGAGACTTTCGAGTCACAGAGGTTAAACCCCAATGATTTGTCCTCCAAATGACACCACTGTACAGCACCTCCTCCCCACCACTACTAATATGTTTAGGATTCTCTTTCCTTCCCTCACATCCAAACCATCCATATCTCCTTTTGGTTCTTTCTCCAAAGAAAATCTCAAATTCAACTGCTGCTCTTGCATTTCCTGGCTACAGAAGACCAGCTGGGAAGCTGGTGTTCTCTTTTCTAGAGAGAGATTTTTACATCATGACAATACTCCGGGCCCGGCCCAGCTCGGTGGCTCACGCCTGTAATCCCAGCACTTTGGGACGCCTACAGGGGCTTATTGCTTGAGCACAGGAGTTTGAGACCAGCCTGGCAAACATAGTGAAACCCCGTCTCTACTAAAAATACAAAAATTAGCCAGGCGTGGTGGCACGCACTTGCAATCCCAGCTACTCGGGAGGCTGAGGCAGGAGAATCACTTGAACCCAGGAGGCGGAAGTTGCAGTGAGCTGAGATCGTGTCACTGCACTCCAGCCTGGGCGACAGAGCAAGACCCTGTCTAAAATCAAAAAAAGGAAAAAGAAAAAAAGGCAATCCTCAGGTTAAAACCCTTCTACGGTTTTCAAATAGGCTTAGAATAAACCCCAGCTTCCTACCCAGGTCTCAATGCTGCTTCCTCTCCGGCGGAAGCCCCCACTACTGAGTCCAGCTCCCGGCACATTTGCTGGACACACCCAACTTATCCCTCTGTGGCCTGTACACTCTTGCACTCACCATCCCCTTGCCTGGAAAGCCTCAGGTCTCCGCTCAAGATCTTTCCCTGAAAAGGTCTTCTCCTCCTGCCCCACTTCCTAGCCCATCGCTCTATAACTGCTATACTATACAAAAGCATCTTATTTATTTATTCTTTTTATACAATTTCTTTAGAGACAGCATATTATTTATTCTTCCCTTGTGTGTTTCTGTCTCCATCCCCAAAATGTAACCTGAGTGAAGAAAGGAACTCGCTCCTTGTTGCTGGTGTGTCCCAGTGCCTAGGACGAGAAGCTGAAGTCTAAGAGAGAGAGGCTCAAAGCTGAAAATCATTTGCCTTTAGAGCCACTTTGAAAAACAGTTCCACAGTTTTGTATACAGGTAAACATACACTTACCATGTGACCCAACACTCCCACGCCTAAGCATTTACCCAAGGGAGATGGAAATCTGTATTCACACAAAAGCTTGTATGTGAATGTTTATAGTGATTTTACTCATAGTAGCCTAAAACCAGAGAAACAACCCTATGTGGGGCCTACTCCCGTGGGGCATCCCTTCCATCCAGTAATAAAAAGGAACAAATAAGTGATACAAGTGTGGGTATATGACTGGGCACAGTGGCTCATGACTGCAATCCCAGCAGTTTGGGAGGCCAAGGCAGGCGGATTGCTTCAGCTCACCAGCTGAAGACCATGGAGACTAGCCTGGGCAACATGGCAAAAACCCATCTCTACAAAAAATACAAAAATTAGCTGGCTGTAGTGGTGCACACCTGTAGTTCCAGCTACTTGGGAGGCTGAGGTGGGAGTGGAGCCTGGGAAGTGGAGGTTGCAGTGAGCCAAGATCATGCAACTGCACTCCAGCTTGGGCGACAGAGCCAGACCTTGTCTCAAAAAAAAGGTGAGGGAGGGTGGCATAAATCAATCTCAAAAGCAATATGCTCAAGTGAAAGAAGTCCCACAAAGGCTATATATTATAGGATTCCTGTCTCAGTCTGTTTTCTGTCTCTTAGATTACCTGAAACTAGGTAATTTATTGACAAAAGGAATGTATTTCTCATAGAGGCTGAGAGGTCCGAGGTGTTGAGGGGCTGCATCTGGTGAGAACCCTCTTGCTGGTGGGGACTCTGCTGAGTCCTGAAGCCGTGCAGGACATCACATCGCGAGGGGCCTGAGTGTGCTAGCTCAGGTCTCTCTTCCTCCTTTTATAAAGCCACCAATCCCACTTCCATGGTAACCCATTAGTCCATTAACCTGTGAGTCCATTAATCTAGTCATTCATTTATGAGGACAGAGCTCTCATGTCCCAATGGCGTCTTCAAGGCCCCACCTCTCAATACTGCCACATTGGGGATTAAATCTCAACACGGCTTTTGGAGGGACAGATATTCAAACCATGGCAAGTCCATGTATATGAAATTCTAGAAAAGGCAAAACTACAGGGAGAGAAGACGGATCAGTGGTTGCTGAGGCTGGGTGATGCGGCAAGTTGATCAACAAGAGGCTGGAGCAGTTTTATGGAGGGATAGAACTGTCCTAGATCTTGACTGTGGTGGTGATCATACAATACTGTACATTTGTTGAAATCTGTCAAAACAAAGCCTCCGATCTCATGCAGCTTTCGTTCCATTGAGGGGAGACAGAGAGTAAATAAAAATTAGGAGCCGGTTGTGGTGGCTCACGCCTATAATCCCAACAATCTGGCAGGCCCAGGTGGGAGGATCACTTGAGCCCAGGAGTTTGAGACCAGCCTGGGCAACATAGCAAGATCTCATCTCTACTAAAAATCATTAAAAAAAAAAATTAGCTGGGTGGGGTGGGATGTGCCTGTAGTCCCAGCTACTCCAGAGGCTGAGACGGGAGGATCGCTCGAACCCAGGAGTTCAAGGCTGCAGTGAGCTATGATCATGCCATTGCATTCCAGCTTGGGCAACAGAGTGAGATCCTGTCTCAAAAAAACAAAACAAACAAGAACAATATCAAAAAGCAAAAAAACAGAAAAACAAGAGCAATAATGGAACCAACATTTATTTAGAGGACAGGGCATTTCTCATGCATCCCGTCATCTCCTCAGGCGCCCTCATGACATAGGTGCTGTAGTCCCCACTTCACAGATGAGGCAGCTTAACCCCAGAGAGGTTAAGTGATCTGTGGAAGGCCATACAGCCAGGGCGGAGGAGACAGAAACAGAAGCCACGATATCCGACTACAGAACTTCTGCTCCCACTCGCGACAATATACTGGTGGCCCAACGCCCTTTCCGGACACCAAAGTAACCCCCAGTGAGAAGTAACACCAAGCCACACTTCTCACCCCAGCCGTGATCCTCAACAGTGGCCGAACAGATGATCAACTGGAAAGCGGTAGTGCTTGCCACGCACGGGAAGGGCCGGCAGGTGGCACCAGAGGGCCGCCCGGCTGCTCGCTTTGCGCCCTTGCCGGCAGTAGTTCCCAGCGTGCTCCGGAAGTGACGCGACTGATTCGCGGGGGCGCGTCTTGCCCACCCCCAGGGCCCCCGGGTTGCCTGCGGGATTCAGAGCAGCGCCGGAGCTGAGATTCTGGAGCATTCTTGCCACCCCCACCCTACGCATGTGTTGCAGTGATACAAGAATTTGGCGTGCGGTTTACCCGTGTTTAACCTCTTTGCGTCTCGTTTCTGAATCGTATCCACTTGAGCATCACTAGACTGATCTATTTTAACAGTGGTGGGGGGCAGCGAGGTCAGTTACGGGTCCCTCCTCCTTAAAGGGGTGGACAGTTGACTTTGGGCAAACCCCTTCCCCTCTGTGGGCAACAATTTCCCCTTCTGCAAAATGAGGGTTTGGGTTGTAGTTTCTAAGTTTAGCTGTGGCATGCGAATTCCCAGGAGGGAGGTCTTTAAAAATTCAGGTGCTCGGGCGTGGAGTGCAGACCTCTGGGTTTTTGCAGGCTAGCCAGCTGATTTTGATGCACAGGTGGACGTGGGAGACCCTGGATCAGATTGTCCCTAGGGTCCCTTCCGGCGTTAACATCTTCTGCTTCATTTTTAGGACGTGGTTTTAAACTTGAAAATGTGAAACTAGAAATGTTGCTCTGAGACCCCCTGGACAAACAGATTTTTACACTGGGGACAGAACTTGAGCAGTCTGTCTTGGCCTCGCCACTGACGTCCCTTTTTTCCTGTGGGGACAGGATGGACAGATTCCTGGTGAAAGGGGTTCAAGGGGGCCTTTTGAGGAAGCGGGAGAAGCAAGAGCCGACTGGAGAAGAGCCAGCTATGTTGGGAGGAGACAAAGAAAGCACAAGGAAGAGGCCCAGGAGAGAGGCCCCAGGGAATGGAGGACACTCAGCAGGCCCCAGCTGGCGGCACATTCGGGCTGAGGGCCTGGACTGCAGTTACACGGTCCTCTTTGCTAAAGCTGAGGCAGATGAGATTTTCCAAGAGTTGGAGAGAGAAGTAGAGTATTTTACAGGTAAGCGGGTGTGTGTGTGTGTGCGCGCGCGCACACTGAGGGCTTGTTTGGTGCAGTTAATGATCTTACGTTTGGAGAAATCTGAACTCAGGATCCATTATTTACTGATGGGTTCGCTAATGGATTCATCCAATATTCTCTGAGCACCTCTAGGCTAAGCCCCTTAGGTGCGTAGGACATAAACTTGAAAAAAAAACTGGATTGCTTGTCCACTAGGATCTGACAGATGACTTGAGTAAATCTCCACTTGGCTACTGATGAGCATCTTCTGGGAAACTTTACAAAACAAAGTAAGTAAACGTGCTGGGTTCCACTGCAGAGCACTTCAGTCAGAATCGCTCCGAGGACAGGCTGACCACTTGTGTGTTTAAAAAGCTTCCAGGTGATTCTCATGGGCAGAAAGAGTTTGAGAATCACTGGTCTTATAGGAGAGATGGCAAATAACCAGGTAATTTCTCCACACCAGTGGTTCTCAGAGTCACCCGGTGGACTTGCTGTTGGCAGGGCTTGGATTGCTGAGCCCTACCCCTGTGGTTTAGTTTAGTTTCTAAGAAGATTCCAGGTGTTGCTGGTGCCGCTGGTCTGGGGAGCACACGTTGAGAACCACAGCTCTATCCTGTAATGAGGACACAAGGATCTGGCAGAGAGGCATAGAAAAGCCCACAGGAGGCCCGGTGCGGTGGCTCATGCCTGTAATCCCAGCACTTTGGGAGCCCGAGATGGGTGAATCACTTGAGGTCAGGAGTTTGAGACCAGCTTGGCCAACATGGTGAAACCCCATCTCTACTAAAATACAAAAAAAAAAAAAATTAGCTGTGCGTGATGGTGCATGCCTGTAATCCCAGCTACTCGAGAGGCTGAGGCAGGAGAATCATTTGAACCCGGAAGGCAGAGGTTGCAGTGAGCCGAGATCATCCCACTGCACTCCAACCTGGGCAACAGAGTGAGACTGTGTCTCAAAACAAAACAAAAAACGAAAGCCCACAGGCCAGGCATGGTGGCACACACCTGTAATCCCAGCTACTCTAGAGGCTGAGGTGGGAGGATCACTTGAGGCCAGGAGTTCAAGTCCAGCCTGGGCAACATAGTGAGACCCCCTCATAGCTTTATTATTTTATGTTTTGAGACAGGGTTTCACTCTGTCACCCAGGCTGGAGGGCTGGGACACGATCCTGGCTCACTGCAGCCTCATCCGCCTGGGTTCAAGTGATTCTCCCACCTCAGCATCCTAAGCAGCTGGGACCACAGATGTACACCACCAAGCCTGGATAATTTTAAAATTATCCATAGGTCTCACTGTGTTACCCAGGCTGTTAATTGAACTCCTGGCCTTGAGTGATCCTCGCCTCGGCCTCCCAAAGTGCTGGGATTGCAAGCATGAGCCAGCACGCCTAGCTCGCCGTCTCTTTAAAAAAAGAAATGCCCACAAGAGACCCTAGCCGTGTGAGCCCCATCTTTCATGGGGTTACACGCCCTTAGTCCCTACAGTTGACAAAGCCATCCTAGCCTGTAAACTAACGTTATCGTGCTCCACTTTCAGCTTCTTTATTCTCCCTTTACTGTAGTTAAGGCAGTTAAGTTACAATGTTCACTAAAAAAATGGCCCAGGGCCATGTTTCTCTCCTTGTAGGACAAGAGTCATTGTTCTTACATGAACATTTGGGGCAATTGGCTTGGTGCAGTGGTGCACACCTGTAATCCCAGCACTTTGGGAGACTGAGGCAAGGGGGCCACTTGAGCCCAGGAGTTCAAGACCAGTCTAGGCAACATGGTAAAACTCTGTGTCTACAAAAAAATACAAAAAAAGTTAGCCGTGCATGGTGGCGTGCCCCCGTGGTCCCAGCTACTCAGGAGGCTGAGGCAGGGGGACTGCTGGAGCCCTGGAGGTGGAGGTTGCAGTGAGCTTACAAAAAAGTTAGCCGGGCATGGTGGCATACCTCTGTCGTCTCAGCTATTCAGGAAGCAGAGGAGGGAGGATCACTGGAGCACAGGAGGTGGAGGTTGCAGTGAGCTGAGATTGTGCCACTGCACTCCAGCCTGGGTGACACAGGGAGACCCTGTCTCAAAGAAAGGAAAACAAAAAAAAGAAAATTTGGGGCAAGCCAAAATGATGATTGAGGAGGGGTTTAAATTGCGTGGAATGACGGGGAAATGTTATTCCTTACTTCCCTTTCAATCTTGAATACCCAGGGAGCATGTATGTGGGGCACTGGATTTCTGATGGTGGCAGTTGGGGGGCCATCTGGATTTCTAGAGGGGAGTCGAGTGGAAAGGAACTGCCATGTTTCCTCTGCACAGGGGCGCTGACCAGGGTCCAGGTATTTGGCAAGTGGCACAGTGTGCCCAGGAAGCAGGCAACGTACGGCGACGCTGGGCTGACCTACACATTTTCAGGCCTCACGCTGTCTCCAAAGCCCTGGATCCCAGTTCTAGAGCGCATCCGGGATCGCGTCTCTGGGGTGACTGGACAGACCTTCAACTTTGTGCTCATCAACAGGTGACACCCTGTCTGTTTAGTGGACTCAGTGTTACAAGTCTTCTGTCTCCTCCAAAAGGAAGTGTTTAGGGTTCCACCCTATTTGGTTCATTGGTACAAATCATTTCTTAGTACACCGGGGCTCTAGGAGTGGAACAGTGCCAGCGCTCGGTCTTCCTGGAGCTCATCCCAGAGGAGGAAGTGAGAGGTTATTAACTCCTGAACAAACAGCTAGCTGAATGAGACAATTTCTTCTGTTTTTTTTTTTTTTTTTTTTTTGAAACAGGGTTTTTCTATGTTGCCCAGGCTTAGTCTGAAACTCCCGGACTCAAGCGATCCTCCCACCTTGGCCTCCCAAAGTCTGGAATTGCAGGCGTGAACCACTATGCCTGACCCTAGATAATTTCAGACAGTGATAACCATCTTGCAAAAAATTAAACAGGTCGATTTGACTGAGAATGGCTGAGAGGTTTGCGATTAGGGCCAGGTTTCTCAGTGGCAGCACTGTGGACATTTTGGGCCCAGTCATTCGTTGTTTGGGGCTGACCTGTGCCTTGTGGGATGCTGAGCACATCCCTGGCCTCCATCCACTAGGTGCAAGTAGTGTCCCCCACCCCCCAATACCTGTCCCCTGGGGCAGAATCACCCTGGCGGAGAACCCTGGGTGGGTTTAAGGGAAGGTCACTTTAGATGGGGTGGTTAGAGGAGGGCTGAGGCAGTGTGTTTGAGCTGGTAACTAAATGGAGAGTGCCAGCCACAGACATCTGGAGGGAGAGCAGAGGGACTCGAGTGTCTGTGAAGCAAAAATCCTGCAGGATGGCCAGAAAGCAGTGAATGAGGGAAAGAAGGGGATGACATGAACTCAGAGTGGGCAGAGGCCAGGCTGGGCCGAGTATGGCCTTTAAGTGCAGGGTGAAATCATGTGATAAAGGTTTACATAGACTGGCCACGGGAACTACAGTAAGACATGATTTTGGCTTTGGATGTCTTCAGTTTTAAAGCACATGAACTGGCCGGGTGTGGTGGCTCATGCCTGTAATCCCAACACTTTAGGAGGCTGAGGAGAGTGAATTGCTTGAGCCCGAGTTCAAGACCAGCCTGGGTAATATGGTGAAAACATTTCTACAAAAGAAAACAAATTAGGTGGGGTGGTGCATACCTGTAGTCCCAGCTACTTGGGAGGCTGAAGTGGGAGAATCACCTGAGCCCGGGAGGCCAAGGCTGCAGTGAGCTATGATTGTGCCACTGCACTCCAGCCTGGGTGACAGAGCGAGACCCTCTCAAAAATAAGTAAATAATAAATAAGTCACATGAACAAATAGGTCAACAGACCCCTTCAGGGTTGGCTTATCTTAGAGCCTGCTGTGGACCTCCAGCCCTCGCAGAAACAACAGCAGGAACAGCCGTGCACAGAGCACCATTTCACACTGTGAGGAAACGAGGGCTGGCTGTGCTGGTGAGTTTCAGGAGAGGGTGGTTTTTATGCACTGTGCTTGTTTTCTCATTGCAGGTATAAAGATGGCTGTGACCACATCGGGGAGCACCGAGATGATGAAAGAGAACTGGCCCCTGGGAGCCCCATCGCCTCTGTCTCCTTTGGTGCCTGCAGAGACTTTGTCTTCCGGCATAAGGATTCCCGTGGGAAAAGCCCCTCCCGGAGGGTGGCGGTGGTCAGGCTGCCGCTGGCCCACGGGAGCTTGCTCATGATGAACCACCCGACCAACACACACTGGTACCACAGTCTTCCCGTGAGAAAGAAGGTTCTGGCTCCACGGGTCAATCTGACTTTTCGTAAAATTTTGCTTACTAAAAAATAAAAACGTTTTTAACGGTTTTTCGCTTTTATCTTTCCCTCTGGACTCTTAAGAGGGAGCTGGTGTTTCCCTTACCAACAGGAACACAGAAAGGTTTAAAGCACAGGACTTGTTATGTAACAGTGCAGAATTCAGAAAGACAATGTTTGTAACAGATCAGTGCATTACACCAGGTGACTGTTTTCCTAACAAAATGATGATTTTATTGCTATAATACACAGCAGATACAAAAGTACCTTTAGCAAATACATAAGTCAGCAGTTATTATGGCAAAACCACTAGTTTAACTTAGATCTTCCCCAAGAGAAGCTACTTACTTTGAAAATAACTTAAAACTAGAAATCAGATTATGGGGCTGCTGCTTAATGCATAATAATTTACAAAATGAAGTCAGGTTAAAAGGCTTTGCACAGGTATTGTTCACATTTATAGCCTTGGCTCAAACCCTGGCCTCTCACCAAAGAGAGATCTGCTTATAGCCGTACGTTCCAAGGCTCAGCCGCTTTTCTCCATCTTTCTTTAATGGTAGATTTCAAAAAGCAGTGGCAGAACAGCAATTACTTAAAGCTACAGCTTTGCAGTACACTTTAAGGTCACATGATTTGGGCATTTGTTCCACCAGACTTGGGTAAAACAAGTGTGTTCATTTCAACATCAAAGCCAAGGTCTGCATCGGGTGAGTGCAGGACGGACCGTACAGTTCAAGCTGCCCCTTGCACCCCAACGCCCAGAGCCTGGAGAGCCTGTACAGTATATTCTGTGGACAGTATATTCAGCGAGAGTTACTGAGTCCTCAGGGTGCAGCCTGGGGCCAGTAGAAGAGTGACCATCTGGGCTTCCTGCACGGTGAGCTGCTGCCAAGGCACCGTTTGGTGTGTCCTCCAGCTCGCCCCCAGCAGAGGAAGCATAGGTCTTAGCCTAACCTCAGATGACCTTTTGGATAGGTCTGATTCCAGTCTTACCTCTGATGAGTCGGTTTGAATTTGGATCTATTTTTTTAAATTAAAAATCTAGCTTAAAACAGGTACTACTGTGTCATCAAAATTCCTGTGGCCCTGGGCTGCATTCAGAGACTTATCCAAAAAGGGAAGAAAGTGCTCAATATATACTTTTTGTATTAGGCTACTGGAAATGAATAAATTCAGAATATGAACCTAGAGCAACATACAATACTAGATGCCACCTGTAGTTACATGTTTTTAAAAAGTCAAAAGCTGCTTTCTTCTTTTCGTGAAAAGGGCTGAACTTTGGTGTCATCAAATCTAACCCTTCACAAATGAGGAAACTGAGGTTCAGAGAGACTGCAGCCCCAAGGTCAGCCCTTCCTTCCTAAGCCCGCTGTCAACTCAGGGCAGGGATTGTCTTTTTATACAGCCCCAAGTTCCTACCTGTAAACCTTAAGAGCTCTGTATGGGCAATAAATAAGCAGACGAAAGTAACCATTTACAGTGGATCCTTGTGTAAGAAAGAGTTTTCCACAGAGCAGAGGAATCAGGTGTTGCAAAGATATAGCTTAGGTCTGGCTATTCACAGAGTTTTATAATACAGTGTAATTACATCTCAGTCCAATATACAAAAGATAAAAGCAACAAGTAAGCTTTTCACTTATAACCGACAAAGTAGTGAAAGAGTTTCCCCAGGGGGGCAGATTTGGCAGATAATCCTTTACTCCATAGAAAGAACTGGAAGATTAGAAAAGGCATAGAAAAAGGAAAGTGTTCTTTAGGCATCTTTCACCTGTTCTCTCGCTATCCTTTTGAGTAGCCTGGAGGGAATATTTCAGAATGGATGTGCTATAAAAGCAATCGAAAGTGAAAGGCACTTTTTCTTCTAAATTGTTGCCTTTAATAATTTCATTAATTCTTGTCAACAATTTTTATGGGCCTGCTTATTAAAAATAAAAGATCTGGGTGGAAACGCTGATTACACAAAGGTGCTTCCCCTCTGAGAACACCTAACATTACAATATGAAAACGGTGGCTTCAAGAATCTGCATTCTTTTAATGACCTGTATCAGATGAGTAAAAAGACACTCCAGACATCATGAATGCTTTCTTAATACAACAGTACCTTCTACACACATGAACAGAGCTGTTCAGGGAGCCTGATTTGGTATGAATTGGGGCTGGCTCCCAGGTGGAGCCTGCTCTCAGAACACACCGGAAAGCTGGAAGGCTCCAGTGCGGCTGCTTGCACACACAACAGTACAGTTTTACTTTTTTCCCGGACAGTGTGAAGACAGTGCCATCAGCTCTAGCCTTGCAGGAGGGCGAAGTCATTCTTCAGACTTGTACTCCTGGCTCTGGTGTTGCATCCTGGAAAGGACGCGCTCATAGAACAGCAGGTAGGCGCTGGAGGACAGGACCTCCTGCAGGCTGGCCTTGCGGACAGTGTCATCGGAGACCCACAGCCACTGGTTGCTGGTTGAGAGAGGGTTCCTGGCCGAAGGTGGAGACCGTCGGTAAGTGACAAAGTGTCCAGAGTGCATGTCTCCATGGTGGACGACAACTGCCATCAGCCGGAAGAGGTATGTGGAGGAGCTGAACGATAGGAACACATGTCAGGGGTTTACAATTTTAACAAAAAAGACTTTATAGGCAAAAATGAAAGAATCCTAATGTTAAATAGGGGATCAATACAATAGTAAGTCCATACCACCGAATGCTACACAACTATTAAGATACAGATCTGTATTTACTGACATGGCAAGATGTACATTCTATGAGTATATGTATATTGTATATATGTGTATGTTTGTATCAAATGAGTGTATGTGTTTATGTATACTGTATGTATGTGTGTTCACATACCCACATATGACTTTATAGAGTGCGTGACCCTAAATGTTTAATTGGCTATCTCTAGGTGGTATCCCAAGAAATTTTATATTTTCTTTATATTTTATACATACACACATATATATACACATACATATGCATATGTAAATTTTATGTACTTTAAAAATTCTTAGTTTAAAAGTTATTTCCATTTTGAACAAAAATAAATAAGAATGTATAATCATGAAACTTCACCTTAAAATGAAAAATAAACCTCTACATATTCCTGAATTCATTTCTGTGAAAAGCTAATTTTCGAAGCTAAGAGTAGTGGTAGCTCTAAGATGGGGCCTGTAAAGGGCAGCTCACCTGTAGTCGGGAACAACCGGGAGAGGGAAGGGCATCGGTGCGGACAGTGTTGGTAATAAAGATGGGGAGCAGGCGCCATTCATAAAAATCTGTGTTTTGGGGGCCCCTGGCTGATTCAGAACTGCAAGAGAAAAAGGCCCGAGTCAAAGAAAATAAGCAGTGGCTCTGTAAACAAAGCCTGGTTTTGATTACCTTGAAAGTTAACTCCCCATAATGCTACAAAGAAAAAAATATATTTCATTTGGTATTATATAGATTCATAAAATAATCTGCCCTTTATCCTTAATCTCAAATAGGGATAATCTGTCTTAATGCCAAATAGGACAAGTGTATCTAGCTCCAGCTTTATGGCTAGCCTGGGATCTTTGAGCTCCTAGCCCTGTTTGCTAATGGCATGTATCAAAGTTAATCAGTAGCTAATTTACTGGCTTTTGACCTAAACCAAAGTTTCTCAACATGGCACCAGATGGTTTTGGCTGGATCATTCTTTGTTGCGGGGCCTGTCCTGGGCATCAGAGGATGTTGAACAGCATCCCTGGCCTTTACCCAGTAGCACCCCTTCCCTAGCAGTGACAACCAAAACTGTTACCAGACATTGCCCAATGTCCCTCGGGCGGCAAAACTCCTCCAAGTTGAGAACCACTGATCTAAGCATTCTGTTTTCTTTAATTCTGTCAGCTTCTAAGGAATACCAACATGTAACAGCATTAATACATGTTTATGGGGGGTATACATAAGATAATTAAGGCCATATTTACATGTCTTTTCCTTTCAAGTGTCATTTTTGGGGGCCGTTACATACCAAGTAGTTTACTGATGACTTTTTTTTTCTTTAAGACAGGATCTTGCTCTGTTGCCCAGGCTGGAGCACAGTGGCGTGATCAGAGCTCACTGCAGCCTCAAACATCTGGGTTCAAGCAATCCTTCCACCTCAATCTCCCAAACTGCTGGGACTACAGGTGTGAGCCACCACGACTGGCCCTACTGCTGGCATCTTTAACCACAGCCAGCATGCTCTCAACATTAGTAAACCTGCACCCCAGCCCAGGAGAGGGGGAAGGTGGGGTGCAGAGGTCTTTTTTTTTTTTTTTTTTTTTTTGAGACGGAGTCTTGCTCTGTGGCCCAGGCTGGAGTGCAGTGGCCGGATCTCAGCTCACTGCAAGCTCCGCCTCCCGGGTTCACGCCATTCTCCTGCCTCAGCCTCCCAAGTAGCTGGGACTACAGGCGCCCGCCACCTCGCCCGGCTAGTTTTTTGTATTTTTTAGTAGAGACGGGGTTTCACCGTGTCAGCCAGGATGGTCTCGATCTCCTGACCTCGTGATCCGCCCGCCTCGGCCTCCCAAAGTGCTGGGATTACAGGCTTGAGCCACCGCGCCCGGCCGAGGTCTTTGATTTAAAACCAGGGCTAAGGGCTGAACCTGAGTCTGTCCCCTACCTCATCTCTTTTCGATGTTAATTTAGTGACTTGATGAGAAAGAGGAAAACACAATCTCCCTGACATGATGAGGTGTCGGGCCATGCACCTGTGGTCACAAAAAGAACAAAAGGACTAAGGGACCCTAAATAGGAAAGTATGGGGTGTGAGACGATCCTGACCTAACTGGGGGCGGCAGGCAGGTGGTAAGTTCAGGCTGAGAGCCCTTCAAGTGAGTGGGTTTTCCTCATGTCTAACTCTAAAGAGCTCAGTGTGTCACTAGAGACACCTTTAGAAAATGGGCCAACATGGCATTCTAGGGCCAGTTCTCCCGTGCGGTGTTTGCCCTTGGACCAATCATTCAACCCCATGGAGCCTCCACGTTCTCATCAGTAAGACCAGGGGTGATAACAGCTACCTGGCTTAACTGAGACCTCAGCTGAGGGCAGTAATGGAATCAGATACATAATTCAGTACAGAAGTCACTTCAGCCCCAAGAAGAGGTTTGGTGATCTTTAGCCAGGACATGTCCTCCCCACATTTCCTGTACTGACAGGAAATGACACGACCAAAAAAAGAAAAAAAAATTCACTGAAATGATGTGAGCCAATGATTATATCATTTAGTGGAAAGATCAGAAGACAAGGCTGCAATTTTAAGCGTTTCTCTCTGTACTTTTTCATCTGTAATATGGTTTCAAAAACCATACATCTCTCTGCTACATAATTTTAACCTCTTCTAAGAAATCTTCCCTCTTCCACCCCCAATCCTGCTGTTCTCAAGAGTTTAAGCAACCATTGTACAAGCCTTGTGCTCATGTCATAAGGGACCCAGAAGGTGGTGACGCCAAACTGCTTTTCTCTGTGCTGAAAATTCCTGCTGCATCGGCTCCTCGTGCACACACCTGGCGTGGGGGCTCCCGGCCCATCCTGCAGCTCCAGTGTAGGCCCTGGGTTCTTGTTCAGTTTAGGGTTGTGTTGACTAGGTTTATGTCCAAGGAGGTGGTACTTGTAAATGTCCATCATCAGGAACTCATTGAACTGCACGTGCTCGTGCCGCTTCAGAGGCGTGCCGTGACTGGACCAGCTCAGCCGCTGTAGGTGGATGCACAGACACTGAGGGAGCTGCGGGTGGAAGAGAAACCGGGAGAACTGAGTTGTTTCAGCGGCAGGACACACGGAGTCCTCAAAACAAAACCAACAGGGTGTGTGGTGTGGGCTCACCTTCCCTAGTTTTAACTGTTTAACAAAAGTGGTCCTCTGATGTTCCACCTTTTCCCCATTCAACGTTCCCTTGGCTTCAATCTGAAATAAAAGAAACATTTCTCTGCAGAAATGCCTAAAATAGGACAGCTTTGGAGTGCTGCAGACAACAGTGGTGTTATAGCGGCACACAGTTGGCACTTGACTGCTACCTGCTGAAATGAATTCAGCTGCCCAGTTATTTGTGAATTGTTTTCCCTGATCTCTCTTAGTCATTAAATAACAGAAACAGTGGAGGGAAGAGAACGTGAAGAGCGAACACTGATGCTCTGACACTGGCATGTCATCTATTAATTGTTCTCTGTCTTCAAAAATTCTGTTCCATACAGTTCCTCTTGAGTCAGAGGGGAAAACTCAGTTACTTAGGGGAGTCAGGCAGGTAGCACAGGTTAAAAGAAAGGGTGCAAAACAAATGGGACTGGAAGCAACTGCAGCAAACTGGAGAGGGCATTTCTCATCTCAGCGTGAAAGTTTATTCTTTAAACACTGTGCATGAAACAAAACTCATCTGGGAAAGAGATTTGGTCCATGAGCGGCCAATGTCCAAAGCAAGTTAGGGAGAAGTAGAAGTGGCTGAAAAGACCCACTGGGTACAGTCAGAAGAGCTCAGGGTCAGTGGTGTGAGAGGTGCTACATCAGCACACACAGACCAGCTGGGAATGACATTTGGGGTTCAATGCATACCTTTGTACAGTTGTCACACACAACATCCCGCACTGATTCTGATGAGATGAAGTGGTGAAGGCAGTGGTCCAGGGTCAATGGGTGACCCTACAGCATGAGAAGAAGAAAATTACTACAATTCAAAGGACAGCTATACTGAAACTGTTAGCAGATGGCAGTGTGAAGACCAGAACTTTATTTTGATGTATGCAGGCAATAAAGTTTTATAGTCACAACTGGATGTTTCCTGGACAAACATGGGACTCAAAGCTCCCCAGACTGCTATTATGGACAGATTCTAGAGCATGAGGATGTAACTGCACGAACTTGTGGACTTCCATGCTGTTTTAGGTATCTTTGAATTTGAGGTTAATGTCTGTGTGTGTGTATTCAAAAAGCCAAAATTTCTGGAGCAAAAGAAAAACCATTCATTATCCTCCCTCCCATAATCGTGCCACATATTAAAGTTAACATAGGGTTCAACCAACCATGTATCTGAGTTAACATGGGGTTCAACCATGTATCTGAATTACACATAGTGCCTGAGCCACATAAAATGCCTCAAAACCCTTTCAGATTGAAATGTCTCTGAAACAGACTCCAAATAAGCCATAAATCAGTACATACCCATGTGGCGGCTGGAATACTTAGTGAAAGGCTATCAAAGGTATCAAATCGAACAGGACTCTGAAACAAATATTGCAGAAAATCCAGAAAAGATTTAGGCTTAGTTCAAAGTTTTAAAGATGGAAGATATGTGACTATGAAACAGTTTAATATTGAGATGCCCAACATTAACATAGTAAAATATAATGTACTTAGTTAGAATCAAATTCTATTAAAACAACCTTGTACACATAAGAGGTACAATAATACTAAAGAATCGCTTGGAACAACTGAAAGATTAAATACCTGGGCCAGAAATAATTTTGGGATTTTATTTTAAGGAAATAACCATGGGCATAACTACAAGGATATTCATCAATATTATTTATAATAGCAAAAATTTGAATACAGTCAGCATTACTTAACAATGGGGATACAGTCTGAGAAATGCATCCTTAGGTGATGTCATCATTGTGTAAACATCACAGAGCGCACTTACAAAACCTAGATGGTGCATCCTACTACACACCTAGGCCATATGGTCTAGCTACTGCTCCTAGGCTACCAACCTGTACAACATGTTACCGTACTGAATGCTGTAAGCAACTGTAACACAGTGGGCAGGATTTGTGCATCTAAACATAGAAAAAGTACCGTACAAATAAAGTATTATAATCTTATGGGACCACCATCATATATGTGGTTTGTCATTGACCAAAACATCATCATACAGCACATGACTGTAGTTGAAAGTTTTAGCGAATGGTTTAATAAATTATATAGCATGTCCACAGAATGAAACAGTATGTTAAACAAAATGTAGAAGAACGTATGATCATGTGGAAAGATGTTCACATTAGATTATTCATTGCAAAAAAGCAGACGACGAAGTAGGGTGAGACAGTGCCTGCTTTTAGTGATGCCAGAGGCGCTTGGGTAGATTAACCCTCCTTGAGATAACAATTGTAAAGTTTGGAACAAAACAAAACAAAACGGTTTGAATGAACAGAGAGCTACCAAAAGCAGGCAGAAATGGAAAAGAAATCAACTCTTGGAAAAACAGAACTCTGTGGGCGAGATTTGTGTGTTTGTGGCTTTTTTTCCTGGTTGATGTGGTGCTGGGTGGCAAAAAGCAGCATCCTACAGGATTGAGTAGTCAGATGACAGAGTTCAAGAATCAGGGCTGGTGGAGAGACCAGGGTAAATGCCAGGAAGAAAGGAGACACAGAAGGGATGAGCCCCAAAGTTTATACCTAAACTCTGTTCAATTCCAGGGCTGATCCCTGAACCACACATGCACGGGGGAAACTCCAGGGAGCCTGGCAAAAAGTAGCAGCTGGAAGCTAAAAAAACTGAGCAGAGGTTTTGCCACCCAATGTAGGGGAGACAGAGTTGAGTTTGAGCCCAGCCAGGTTAACTGCGGGCCAGAAGAAAATTAATTTTTCTTCATAGAAATGTAACAGAATCCCTACTCTCTATGTCTCTACTATGATGTTAAGTATACAATAAAAAATTACTAAACATAAAATACAAAGAAGTCAGCACACAAGGACCTCACAGATGCATCATAAATATGCTCAAGAATGTAAAGGAAAATATACAGTGACAGTGAATGAACAAATTGAGAATCTCAGAACAATGGAAACTATTAAAAAGAAGGCAATAGAAATTCTATAACTAAAAACAACAGTGACTACCATGAAAAATTTGTTGCATAGGCAAACAGAGACTGGAGATGAAAAAACAATCAGGCCAGGTATGGTGGCTCACACCTGTAATCCCAACACTTTGGGAGGCTGAAGTGGAAGGATCACTTGAGCCCAGGAGTTTGGGACCAACCTGAGCAACACAGTGAGACCCTGTCTCTACAAAAAATAAAAAAAATTAGCTGGGTGTGGTGGTGCACACCTGTAGTCCCAGCTGCTCAGGGGGCTAAGGTGGGAGGATAACTTGAGCCTGGGAGGTTGAGGCTGCAGTGAGCTATGATCACATTATTGCAATTCAGCCTGGATGACAGAGCTAAGACCCTGTCTCAAAAAAAAAAAAAAAAAAAGGCGAGAGAAAAAAAAGAGAGAAAAGAATCAGTGAACATGAAGATAACAGAAATGATCTAATTTAAAGAAAGAACACAGAAGAAAGATTGAAGAAAATTGAACCAAGACCTCAGTGACCTGTGGGCCAACATTAAGTAACTAATAAGTGAAAAATGGGCATAAAATCTTTGTTGAAAAATAATGGCCAAGAATTTTCAAATTTAGTTAAAAAAAAAGAAAGTACAGATTTAAGAAACTCAGCACCCCCAAACAAGATAAACTACAGATAAATAACGGCGAAGACCAACAAGTCTATACACAGGCATGAACAGAAAAATAAACGAGAAAATTTTGTAAGCACACGTATCAAGCCAGAAGAAAAAAATGACTACTTTACACTAGAGACAGAAATGATATAAAATGGACACTAACTGAAAAAATGCGAGGCCAGAAGCAGCATAGAAACGAAGCAATGCTCCTTTAAAAATGATGAAATTTAAAATAAACCAGCAAAGCAAAACACGGAACACCTCGTGCCAACCCAAGAGTTCTATATGCCAGGCAAGTACTGTTCTTCAAAATGAAGGTAGACAAAACATTTTCAATAACTCGAAATCTAAGTGTATCCATCACCAGTAAGCCTATAACAAATGTTGAAAAGGATGTTTTTAGGCCCAAAAGGGAAAAAAACATAAATGGGATTTTCCATTCTACATGAAAGAACTGAAGAACAAGAAAAAAAGGTAAATACTAATTTTTTATTTAATCAATTACTTAATAGAAGGCGAAGGTGACTCCTTACAACACCTAGCTGGGTGGAGATGTAATTGGTGCAGCCTTTTTTTTTTTTCTTTTTTTTTGAGACTGAGTCTCGCTCTGCGTCGCCCGGGACTAAAAGTGTAAGTGGAGCGGACCGTCTGGGCCTCAATACAACCTTGGGCCGCTCCTAGCGTTACAAGCCCATTTCTGCTTCAGCTCCTGGCAGGTAGCTGGGATTCACAGGCGCCGCCACACCATGCTGCGCTCGTAAGTTTTGGTAATTTTAGTAAGGAAGAGCCTTACGGTTCACCCCTGGTTGGCCATGGTCTTGAACTGGTCTTGAACTCCTGACCTTGTGATCCACTCGCCTTAGCCTCCCAAAGTGCTGGGATTACAGACGTGAGCCACAGCGCCTGGCTGGTGCAGCTATTATGGAAAATCGTACGGAGGAGGTTCTTCAAAAAGTTAAGAACAGAACTACTGTATGAACTAGCAATACCACTTCCGGGCATATATCCAAAGGAAATGAAATGAAACACACATAACTCTTTAAAGCAAAAACTATGACACAGTATTGTGGGGTTTATAATGTATGTATAATAGCACAAAGGCTGGGGTAACAGAACTATATTTTTGTAATATTCCAGGATTTTACATGACAAAGTATAATATTAACTCTAAACAGAATGTGATAAGGTAAAATTGCATAATGTATTCTCACACACACACACACCCCCACACACAAACACACAAGAGTAAAGCTAAAAGGCCAACAAAGGTATTAAAACGGAATACTAAAAAGTATTCCATTAACCTGAAAGAAGCCAGTGAAGGGGGAACAGAAGAACAAGAAAAAATGTAAGACAAACAGAAAATAAATGGTAAAATGGCAGACTGAAATCTAATCACATCAATACTTAAACTGAATGTAAATGGACTAAGCATTCCAACTAAAAGACTGTCAAGCTAGATAAAAAAGCAAGACCCATTATATGCTGTCCACAAAGCCACACTTTAAAGGGCTGAAAATAACAGAAAGAAATTACCCAATAAACATTAGCTAGAATAAAAATGAGTCACTCAAATAGACTTCAAGTCAAGGAGTCTTAGCAGAAATGAAGAGGGACAATTTATCATGACAAGATGAGTTAACTCATCATAATACATACGCTTGTATCCAATGACAAAGTTTTAAAAAATTAGCAGAAATAGAGCTAAAGAAAGACAAATTTTAACAAACAAGCAAGAAATAATACCAATATTAAACAAAATCTTTCAGTAAACAGAGGAGTGAACATTTTCCAGCCTATTTTATGAGGCTAGTATAATCCTTATAACAAAGCCTGACAAAGACATCACAAGAGAAGAAAAGTGTAAGAACAATATTCCTCATAAACATAGATACTAATATCCTTTAGGAAATATTAGCAAATCAAATTCACTAATATATAAAAACAATACAGCATCACCATCAAGTGCAGTTTATCCCAGAAAGGCTGGTTTAACTTAGAAAAATAAAATATGATCATCTCAATAGATGCAGGAAAAAAATGACAAAATTCAATCACTATTAATTACAAAAATTCTCAGCAAACTAGGAACAGAAGGGAAGTTTCTCAGTATGATAAAGGGGTAAACTAAAACCTAAAGCTAATATCATACTTAATTATAAAACACCAAATACTTGCTTCAGAAGATCTGAAACAAAGCAAAGATGTCTGCTATCATCACTCTTATTTAACTTTGTACCAGAAGTCTTAGCCAGGATAATAAGGCAAAGAAAAAAAAAAAGGAATAAATACTGGATTGGAAAGGAAGAACTAAAACTATTTCCATTCATAAGCAACATGACTGTTTACATACACAGAGAATACTAAGGAACATATAACAAAACTTCTATAGCTTCTAGAATAAATGAATGTTTACAAAAATCTCAAATAGAAGGTCAAAATATAAACAGCTGTATGTCTATATACTAGTGGCAAACAATTTGAAAATAAATTTTTTTGATTCCATTTACAATAGTATCAAAGCAATGCAAGGAAAAAAGAGATGAATAGTCAACTTATAGATTACAGTTCCTTAACATATCTTACATATCTTTTAATATGCGAACCTTATTTTTAAAAAGACCATTCAACATATTAGTCTTCAAGGTAATGTCACTCAGAACCGCAATGACACAGCAATCAAAAATCAACAAAATGAAAAGGCAACATATGGAATAAAAGAAAATATTAGCAAACCATATATCTGATAAGAGATTAATATCCAAAACTGAATACTTGAAATATACTAAGAGAGTGTTTATAAGGAACTCATATGAACCAACAGCAAAAAACAACACAAAACAAAGTAACATAATTAAAAAATGGACAAAGGACATGAATAGACACTTTCCAAAAAAAGACATATAAACGGCCAGCGGGTATATGAAAAGGCACTCAATATCACTAATCATCAGGGAAATGCAAATAAAACCACAAAGAGCTATCACCTCACACCTGTTAGGATGGCTATTACCAAAAAGACAGCATGTGGTCAGGTGCAGTGGCTCATGCCTTAATCCCAGTACTTTTGGAGGCCAGACAGGCGGATTACCTGAGGTTGGGAGTTCAAGACCAGCCTGGCCAATATGGTGAAACCCGATGTCTACTAAAAATACAAAAGATTAGCTGGGCATGTTGGCATGTGCCTGTAATCCCAGCTACTTAGGAGACTGGGGTGGGAGAATTGCTTGAACCCAGGAGGCGGAGGTTGCAGTGAGCCAAGATGGCACCACTGCACTCTAGCTTGGGTGCGGCAGAGCGAGACTCCATCTGAAAAAAAAAGACAGCATGTAACAAGTGTTGCCGAGGGTGTGGAGAGAAGACAACGCTTGTACACTGTTGGTGGGAATGTAAATGGAAAACAGTATGGAGGTTCCTCAAAAAGTTAAGAATAGAACTACTATATGAACTAGCAATACCACTCCTAGGTATATATCCAGAGCAAATTAAATCAGGATCTCAAAGATATATCTGCAAAACAATGTTCACTGTAGCATTATTCACAATAGCGAAGACATGGAACGTCTAGACAGATGAATGAGAAAATGTGATATACATGTACAATGGAATATTATTCAGCCATCAAAAAGGAAGTTCTACCATCTGTGACAACATAGATGAAACTGGAGGCCATCTGCTATGTGAAATAAGCCAGATATAGATAAACACTGCCTGATCTCATACCTACATGGAATCTAGAAAAGCCAAACTCACAGAAGCGGAGTACATGGTGGCTGCCGGGGCTGGGGAGGTGGGGAGATGTTGCTCAAAGATGCAAACCTTCCGTTATAAGATGAATAAGTTCTGGAGAGTTAACGTACAGCATGGTGACTACAGTTAATAATACTGTATTGTATTCTTGAAATATACTGAGAGTGTTCTCACCACATATAAGCACAGGTGCACATGCACACACACACACATCAAATCATCACTTTGTACACCCTAAATATATACAATTTTTATTACTGATTAGATCTCAATAAAGCTGGGGGGAAAAGCCACAATTAGATACTACTTTGCACTCAGTAGGATGGCTAGAACCACAATGTCAGACAGGACCTAGAGAGTGGGCTGACATCAAAATGTGGGTGAGGCTGTGGAGAATTGGAACCCCTTGTACACTGCTGGTGGGAATGTAAAATGGCATAGTCACTTTGGAAAACAGTATGGCAGTTCCTCAAAAGGTTAAACAAAAGAGTTACCATATAAGCTAGCAATTACCCAATTGAAGTGAAAATATATGTCCACACAAAAACTTGTATGTATATGTTCACAGCAACATTATTCATAATAGCCAAAAAGTGTTAACAATCCAAATGCCCATCAACTGATGAATGGAAAAAAAATGTTGTAGATCCATGTAATGCAATATTATTTGGTAATAAAAGGAACAAAGTACTGATTCATGCCACAATATGGAAGAAACGTGGAAATATTACGCTAAATGAAAGAAGCCAGACACAAAAAGCCACACATTACATGATTCCATTTATATGAAGTATCCGGAATATGCAAATCCATAGAGACAGAGGTAGATTCATGGTTGACAAGGGGTAGGGGGATGGAAAGGATGGGGAGGGGCTGCTAAAGAGTCTGGAGTTTTTTCAGGGGGCAATGAAAATGTGATAAAGTTGACTGATCCCAGAGTCAGTAATGGCTGTGAAAAAATAAAATAAAATAAAATGGATTGGGGTGACAGTTGTACAATTCTCTATTTTTGTATGATGTTGGAAATTTTCCATAATAAAATATTATTTTAAAACCTCAAAAGCAAAGGGAAAAAACCAGCCCTAGAATCTACTGTGTCCACCATGAGCAAAGACCCAACCACTGGACTCGAGATCCTGCCAATCCACAGTGGGTCTGTTGTCCTTGGAGCAGAAGATGCCATCTGAGGATCAAATGACATGCTGACACTGACCGAAGTGGGGTAGTCAGTCCACTAGTGTGCAGAGGCTAGGTAGTCTCTAACACCAGTGACCGATGCCAGCCCACTCTCTAGGTCCTTTTAAGAATCCTAACTTTTGGAAAACCTCATCCAGAAATAACAAGTGTTGGTATTTACCTGGTGTTCACAGTGTTTGCAGACCATATTACTAGTGAGTCTTCCATGAAAAGGATGTTGAGACTTCCAGTGATTGGATGTGGGGTGAGGTGACCCTGGAATGCAAAAAGTTTTTTGATATGTCACTTTTAGCCCTTTGGCACCAAGCTCAACATTCATCTTCCTTTCTAGTATGTCGTAGAAACTCCCTCTTGAGAAAAAATGTTCTTGAAAAGTACATTGAAATAGCTTTCCTCATTGACTTCCATCCAAAAGACATCCCATTCCTTCATAGGAGAATTTACACAGATCTATCTTTACATATGGTTTCTGTATAATGGGTAGAGCCACATTTTAAAAAGGAATTTGTGTTTAATAAAGTCTTTTTACAAACACATGCTTAAAACGTTTGAGATGTCAAAAGAAGGATACCACCAGTGAACATTCCATAAAGTGAGATAAAATCTTCTGAAATAATCAGAATAAGCAAGTTCTGAATAACTAGGCCTTTCTTTGGCTAGAATGGGGTTCAATGGAAAGAACGTAAGTGAGAAACCCAGGCTCTGGAGTCAGGCAGCCCAAGGATCAGCTCTGGCTCTGCTTCTTATTCGCTGCCTGACCTGGGAATGCCTTTCATCTCTGCAAGCCTCAGTGTGCAGAAAATTGGGATAGTTATTATCCCATTAACTCCAGTACTATCAGCTTTGTAGAGCTGTTATGAGGCTTAAATGAGATAATGCAAAGCCTGGCAAACAGCATGGGCTCAAAAAATACTTGTTCCTATTACTACACAAAGGAATTAATATGCTAATTTTATTTTTTAAGTCTTTTTTTTTTTTTTGAGACGAAGTCTTGCTCTGTTGCCCAGGCTGGAGTGCAATGGCACGATCTCAGTTCACTGCAACCTCCGCCTCCTGGGTTCAACAGCAATTCTCCTGCCTCAGCCTCCCGAGTAGCTGGGATAACAGGCATGCGCCACCACGCCCGGCTAATTTTGTATTTTTAGTAGAGACGAGGTTTCTCCATGTTGATCAGGCTGGTCTTGAACTCCTGATCTCAGGTGATCCACCCGCCTCGGCCTCCCAAAGGCTGGGATTACAGGCGTGAGCCACCGCGCCTGGCCTTAAGTCTTAGAAAACAACAATTTCCTCCTAAGGATGACTTTGGTAACATGCAGTAGAATTTGGCAGCACTGGAAATGCTGAAGACACGACAGATTCAGCTCATTATGTTCTTCCCGGGATCAATTTGAAAAGGTAAAAAGAAAGCCCTTGTTTGAAGTACAAATAAGCCAGTTTCAAGAAAAGTAAGCTGGGCTGGGGTGCAAGGGAACACCAAGAGAATCTATTTAAAGCTATTTCCAAAATACAACTTCCTTTGCAAGCACATCACACTTCAAGCTGGCCTGTATGTCACCAGAAAAAAATATTTTTAACACAAGCAAATTATTATCATATCTTAAAAGTCCACATCTTATGTATTATATTTCAATGGAAAACGGCTACCTCTTGTGCGGCAGGTAATTTGTTTGGGAGTTATTTCTGACTGCTGCTGTAGGGAAAAAAAAAACAGACTGAAAACCCTGCTATAATCCCTTTTACCACCCTTACCCCACCCCTAAACCTTACAACTTTCTATGCTGATTACACCACTAAAAATCAACTTTTAACAAAGCTCAGGTTTCTAAAGGTAGCCTCAACTAGCCTATCTGGCTGGATACTATGCATATTCTTTCATCAAATGCAATAGAAACATATTTCTTCTCTCCAGAATATTTTCATCCTTACTGTTTAACTTTTATCAACTCCCCCCGATATTTATACTGTTACAGGGAAATGAGGGGTCACTTAGTATTCCTATGGCCCCTGTTCCCCTGTATTAAATAGGAAAAAACAACACATTCTTTCTTCTCAAAGCCAACACAAATTGCAGCAATGAATCATTTGAAAGAGCCTTGACATCCCTAATCAGACCCACCAACTACAAAGCATGTAGTTTAAAGACCCTCCCCGGCCTCATTCCTATCACTGATTTTTACTGAATCTTACTTTTGTGTTTAAAGTTGTACAAAGATTACACTTGCCTCTCCTATACTTATCAAATATGCATAAGCTGCACAGAACATGTTGGAAATATTAATCATTTACCTCCAGGGAATGCACATCAAACAAATGTGTGACCCGAGGCTGGCGGTCTCGCTCATCTTCCAATGACGAGGTAATGACATGGAATAATTCGTGAGCATCCTGTCAAAGGGCAAAGCACTCTTTAGAGAGGCTGGATGAGGAAAGGGCAAGATCAGAACTACCCACCTCGGGCAGACGCCCTACAGTGAATGTGGGTAGAATTTGCTTTCTACCTTCTCAAGGCCCAGCTCATTAAAGAAAACAGTTATGTCCTAGACACTGTCACGAGTGAAGACCCTCAAGCAAGAGGTCCAGGAGCAGAGAGCAGGAGAGAAAGCCAGGCAGCTGCCTTCACGCCAGCAGTCTCTGAGATAGTTCTGTTTCACTGAGACAGCCTTGACCTCTGCTCCGACTTCAAAAGATTAGGCTTTATGCTAATTGTGGTAAAATACACATATCATAACATTTATCATCTTAACATGAATGACTATGTGGCATTAAGTACATTCATGTTGTGCAATCATCACCGCCATCCATCTTCAGAACTTTTTCATCTTCCCCAGCTGAAACTCCATACCTGTTAAACACTAATTCCCCATTTTCCTTTCCCCCACCCCTGGCACCCATCATTCTTTCTGTCTCTAGGAATCTGATTACTCTGGGAACCTCACACAAGTGGAATCATACAGTGTTGGTGTTTGTGACTGGCTTATTTTCCTTGGCATAATGTCTTCAAGCCTCACCCATGTTGTAGCATATTGCAGAATTTCCTTCCTTTTCAAGGCTGAATAATATTCCATTGTATGAAAGTTTTGTTTACCTATTTATCAGCTGATAAACGCTTGGGTTGCTCCTACCCCTTGGCTATTGCAAATATGCTGCTATTAACCTGAATACACAAATATCTTACTGAGTTCCTGCTTTGTTTGAATTCTTTTGGTTTGTACCCAGTAGCGGGATTGCTGGATCCATGGCATGGGACTACTCTTGAACATCAACTCAAACGGCCCTCTCCCCAAAAACCCAAGCCATCCCTCACTCTTCCAGGAGTAACGGGGTCACAACACAGGCCCTCTGCTTCTCCTTTGGTGTCCCCTCACACTGCCACCAGAGCAATACTTGAAAAGGCAGACAGCTTTACTCTTCTGCTTTTAGCTTTCCAATGGCTTCCTCTACTAGAGTAAAACCTACCATTCTTATCTGGCCTACAAAGCCCCCAACATTCACAATGTCCCAGCCCCTGGCCTCTTTTGTGTTCCTTGAACACATCCAGCTTATTCCCATTTCGGGTTGTGCTGAGACCTTTGCACAGCTACCTCCTATCCTTCATGTCTCTGCCAAAAGAGCTCCTTCGCAGGGCATACTCCCCAACCAACTATCCAAAGCTGCCTCTACCCCTCTGAACCCTAGCCCACCCCCAGCCAATTCAGCAGCCGTCCTGAAAAAAGGCCCCTCCTCCAAAATATGCCCTAAATTCCTAAGGACTCTCAGCTCCCCTGCTTCAACCCCAGTCTGAGCCACGCCATCTCGGCCGGATAACTGCAGCGGCCTCCCACGTTTCCTCTCGGCTTGCATTCTTGCCCCTCCAGTCTTCCTTTTTTAACAAGTCAGATCAAACCAGTCCCCAGTTCAAAGCCCTCTAGTGGCTCCCCGCTGCACACACAATAGAAGCCGATACTGCCCATATCCTCCCAGTCCCTGCACAATCTGCTCCCCGCCAACTTCCGCCAGCCCCTCTCCTCCGCAGCCCTCCCCACCCTGGCCTCCCTGCCATTCCCCACAGGTGGCAGCTTTATAACTATCTCCAGACTTACACCCTAGCTTCTTCATCTGTCTAGAATGCTCTGCACCCAGGTGTCCACACACTTCACTCTCTTTTATACTTCTGGTCTCGACTGAAACCTCACCTCCCAAGCGGAGCCTCCCTACCTGGAGCAGTCTTCCCCTGTCGCTTGGCTCCTCCTCCCCTGCCCACCCCTACCCACGCCATGTCACACCAGCTAGTTTCTTGTTAGCATATCCTGAAATTCCCTGCTTACTGTCTGCACCGACCACTGCCTGCTATCCTCATCCCCCACCGGAATACCAGCTCTAAGTGAGCAGGAAAACTCCTGCAGGTCATGTCTGCAGCTACAACTCCATTGCCCTCGACAGGCCCCACCTCAGGCATGAATTCAATAAATACCTATTGCCTATATAAATGAATTCCCTCCTGGGCTATAAAACTGCAGCTGTAGAGTGCAAGTAGAGATTCAAAGATAAATAAGGCAAGGCTCTGACCCCTGAGGGACCAGGTGTGGCAGCCTAGCTGTTAGCCAGCAGCACACCAGAGCTGCAGCCCTGTATAGATGAACAGGAAGCAGGGGACCTGGAGGAGAATCAGCGCTTCCTGTGAGGCTCAAGTGGGCCCAGGCTTGAAGCAGATCCAAGACACGATGGAGGTGGATCTATAACTTAACCCGTGGGTAAGCCATGTAACAACTCGGCCTTGAGGAAAGGGACAGCACTGCAGAAGAGGGGGAGCTTGAATGTGCACTGGAGCACCACACTGTCTTAAATCTTGGCTCTGCCCCTTAAACAGCTGCATGATTCTGGGCAAATCATTCCACTTCTCTGAGCCTCAGTGTTTCCATCTGTAAAATGGGGACAATAGTAAACTCCTTACATGGTTATTGTGATAATAAAATCAGGTAATTTGCATAAAGCAAGCCTTTGGCCCAATGCATCCTCTGAAGCTCTAGCTTTAGACAAAGAAAATGGGTTGATAATCAGGGAAAGTCTGCTCCTGATTGAGTGGATCGCTGATAATACAGATGTGGGCAAGGCCCATGCTGGATGCTCTGGGTACCTTCAAACAGGAAAAGGCCACTGGACAGATGCGCCCACCTCTTTCTCCTGCAGACTACAGCATGGCATGGGCCCTAGATGTGGGCCGAAGATGTCGAAAATACTTCCAAGGAGGGACTGGGACCTAAGTGAGTCCTTGATGGAGAAGTCAGACTTTTAAAAAGTTATCTGATGTCCTTGGTGACTAAATCTCAAAGTTATTCTCTCAGTTTAGGGAAATGTAAAATGTAGATAAATAATTCCAGTTACCAGAGGAGGATTTTAGAAGTATTTTCTAAATAGAAAAACATTGCAACATACAATTGGATTAACTGAGATACATTTTAAGAAAGTATAGATACCACCAGCACCATGTCTAAAAAGTGACCTGTGGCTTCAGAATAAAGCAAAAACAAGAGAACACCTTTAAAAATAAGGGGAGCTACACAGCCTCCCCACCTCCCTTTTCAAAAGTCCCTCAATGCCCCTCATGTCAGCCCCACAGTTTTGGGAGGTCCAAGATGCCGCCTCCCATTTCTCTGGACAGTGGCGGCAGACAACACCTACATGAAGCTGGACAAGGCCATCTTGGAAGTGTGGCTGTGGAGGATGCAGCTGTATGCCACTGGGGGCTAGATTTTTTCATCCCTAGAGCTTCACTCTCTTGGCCTCTGCTTCAGACTTGCTGTTGGTAACAGTGGTCTGGCAGGGAGGAGGGTGGCCAAGTTCCAAAGAAGGCAGCAAAGCTGTAGTTGTGGAAAAGGGAGGTGGGAGTGACTGCATTCGGCCTTGGAATTGCATATGACATCTGCTTGAGGTTTCGGGCCACTTTAAGCCAAGCTTTGAAGATTGTTTTTTTTTTTAAATTGAGGGTGTGGCCCAGAAAAATCTTACCTAAACCTCTGAGTCTCCAAGATAAAGTCACCTGCCTCTTTCTAAAGAACCCAAGTGTCCCTATCACTTACTGGAGTGCCAAGTCACTTAAGAACTAAAAAGATTTTGCTCTTTGGCAACTGTGTGTTTATGTCCCATCCCCCTAACCTTCTATCTACTGGGTGAAAAACAGCTGTATCTCCCCTCTGATCATGACAGCAGGAACAAAGTTGGTACTCTGGTCCCAGAACACTAAAGCTGTCTAAAATGTCACAGAAATGTACACTGGGGCCAGGCAATTGCAAGGTCAGACCCCAAGTCACTAGGGGAAAGGATTCTCCAAGCTAAACGTGTTCAAATGTTGTACTCACCTGTTCTTCAAATGATGAGATCTGCCATCTGTACATTCTTAAGACATCCAATAAGCAGCTTGCATCTAAGACCTCATCATCAGTAACTTCTTGGCAGGACAAGGCTGGAAACAAAAAAGGTAAGACATTAAATTCACCAGCATCACAACTAACCAGAAAACCTGCACAGTATAACATATCAAAGTTAATTAAAAATTTAAGGACTGCAGGCCGGGCGCGGTGGCTCACGCCTGTATTCCCAGCACCTTGGGAGGCTAAGGCAGGCGGATCACAAGGTCAGGAGATCGAGACCATCCTGGCTAACATGGTGAAACCTCGTCTCCACTAAAAAAAAAAAAAAAATTAGCTGGGCGTGGTGGCGGGAGCTTATAGTCCCACCTACTCAGGAGGCTGAGGCAGGAGAATGGCATGAACCCAGGAGGCAGAGGTTGCAGCGAGCAGAGATCGTGCCACTGCACTCCAGCCTGGGCAACAAAGTGAGACTCTGTCTCAAAAAAAAAAAAAAAGAAAAGAAAAGAAAAAAAAGTTAAGGACTGCAGGATTCACCTTAGAATTAGGTATTTTTCATCATTCTTTGTAGCATTACCCAATGCGTAGTACTCTATTAGGCACTTAAGTTTACTGAATGAATGTAATTTTTCATGAGGCTGCAGCATTTAAATGAAGTAACTGATTCCTCTATCTTCAAACTATCATCAATATAAATTTGTTGCAAGGTTCTTATCGAGTAAAATGATTTTAACTCACAACTCTCAGGTTGGGAGGGCCGTTCCCAACCAACATTCATCCAGTCCAACTCCATATTCGGTGCCACACTCCTCTCCACAGGGCTGTTTCCCAAGGCCTTTGATTGTATTTGAGTTTCTGATTTTCAAGGCAAAGCATCAAGCTATATGCAGCAGCCTGAAAGCGTCTTTTGAGTGGTTTACTTTTACTTTTTTTCGAAACAGAGTCTCACTCTGTAGCCCAGGCTGGAGTGCAACGGTGTGATCTCAGATCACTGCAACCTCCGCCTCCTGGGTTCAAGCGATTCTCCTGCCTCAGCCTCCCAAGTAGCTGGGATTACAGGCACATGCTACCACACCCAACTAATTTTTGTATTTTTAGTAGAGATGGGGTTCCACCATGTTGGCCAGGCTGGTCTTGAACTCCTAACCTCATGATCGCCCACCTCAGCCTCTCAAAGTGCTGAGATTACAGGTGTGAGCCACGGCACTGGCCGAGTGGTTTACTTTTCAATCACAGGTGGAATCAGGCCTAATAAAATAGAAGTTTGATGGGCTTATGAATTTATATTACAATTACTTCTAGACCAAGGATTGGCACTTTTTCTGTAAAAGGCCAGAAAATAAACATCTTAGGCTTGCTTTTTTTTTTTTGAGACAGGGTCTTATTCTGTCAGGCTAGGGTGCAGTGGTGTGATCTCGGCTCACTGCAGCCTTGACCTCCTGGGCCCAAGCAATCCTCCCAACTCAGCCTTCTGAACAGCTGGGACTACAGGCACGTGCCTTCGTGCTCAGCTAATTTTTGTATTTTTTGTACTGACAGAGTTTCACCATGTTGCCCAGGCTGGTCTTGAATTTCTGGGGTGAAGTGATTTGCCCATCTTGGCCTCGCAACATGCTGGGATTACAGGTGTGAGTTCCTGTGCCTGGCCACATTTTAGGTTTTGTGGACCACATGGTCTCTGTTGCAACTACTCAACTCTGCCATTGCAGCACAAAACAGTCATAGATGTAAAAAGAAAATAACATTTCAGGACCTTCTAAATGTATTATGCCAAGGAGAAGAGTGCTGGAAACAGTCAAGTAACACAGCTGCTTTTCTTCTCTGGCGCATGGCCGCTGCTTCCTGACCTTTGTGTTAAGATGTTACAAATTAACCAGACTCCCTGTTCTTCACTCAAACCTAGGCTGAATGGCACTGGAGATAGAGACCCTTGTGATTATTACCTCTTTACAACGGAATGGTAGGCAATGCCCTAAGAGTGTAATCCATAGTAGCCAATCAAATCTTACATCTATATGTTAGCCATTGTATGGAAAATGTTATAATTCTGTTCAGTACTTCCGTTTTTGTCTACATAAATGATCCCCGCTTTTCCCCACACTGGGAGCACTGATCATCATTTCCTGTTATTTGTGTGTCCCCAGACAGACACCTTCACACTTTGTGTTTGAATAAACCCGTGTAGCTGGATCTCGAACCCTTTGATTATTTTAGGTTGACATAGGCAATATCTAAACAAATGGACATGACTGTGTTCCAATAAAACTTTATTGACAAAAACAGCTGGCGGGCTGGATTTGGCCCATGGTCCATCAGGTGCAGACTCCTGATCTTGGCCACCCTCCTTCCCATCGCATGTTACACTAGACCAGTACTGCTGGAGTGTGAGAGAAAAAAATGTAGAAGCCTGCCTCTCAGTGCAGTTTCTGGAAGTTCAGTGACTCCCAACATACAGTAGGTCAGCCTGTTTCTTCTTTCTGATTTGCCATCAACGGCCTTGAAAGATTCCTTTAAAGCCCAGACTTCTGGGCTGCTCTGCCTATGGAGTAGCCATTCTTTCATTCCTTTACTTTCTTAATAAACTTGCTTTCACTTAAAAAAATAATAATAATAAAGCCCAGGCTTCTGCATCAGTGTGTATATACCCTGGGGCTAGCCCTTTCCCTCCCAGGACAAAGAGAGCAGGGTTGGGAAAGGAACCACACCTTTCTCCCATACCCCTCGGGCAGCCCTTCTGTTAGCTCCCCCAACCCACCACCTCCCAAAGGAAAATTTTAATGCCTCTTTTAACCCAGTTTTGTCTAAAATACTACAGGGCAATTTGGCAGTATCTACTAACATTTTCATATCGTACAACCCAGCAATTTTACTTTTTCAATCCAGCAGTTTTTTTCCCTACAGAAATGCATGCTTAGGTTCACAAAGGGACATGTATAAGGATGCTCACATGATAGCCTGCTTATCATGACAAAGAGCTGGAGACAAATGGCCAAACAAACTGGGGTGTGTTGACATTATGGAAACTATGCAGCTATAAAAGTGAATGAGGCCAGGCACAGTGGAGCCTGTAATCCCAGCACTTTGGGGAGGCCGAGGCTGGAATCCCACCTTCAGCCAGTCAGACCGCTGTGTCAATTTTTTAATGTGTGGATCCTGTTCCCTTATAATGCGGCGCGCGCAGCAACACAAGCTCAACCAAAAATTAGCCAGGGATGAGTGGGTTGCCGCACACCCGCGTACCCCAGAGATACTCGGGCCTGAGGGGCAGGAGGATCCACCTGAACCTGGAGCAATGGGTTCGGCCTGACGAGATATTTGCCACCCCACTGCACTTCCAGTCTGGGCGGAAACAGAACGAAGACTCTGTACCAAAAGGAAGGGGAACAAAAAAAAAAAAAAAACCAAGTTTTCAATCCACCCACTGATAAGCATTAGATACCCAGAAATAAAACTCAAAATTCTAAACTTCAGACCAAACAGACCATACCCAATAAAACAACAAGCCATGCATGCGGGCTCACCACCTGTAATCAGACTTTGGGAGCCTGATTGGTGGCAGATCACGAGCAAGAGATCGAGACCAGTCCTGGCCAACTGATGGTAAAAACCCCGTCCTTCTACTAAAAATAGGCATAAATTGCTCCTGGCGTGGTGGTGTGCACCTGTAGTCCCAGCTATTTGGGAGGCTGAGGCAGGAGAATCGCTTGGAACCTGGGAGGCAGAGGTTGCAGTGAGCTGAGATCATACCGCTGCAATTCAGCCTGGCAACAGAGCGACTTCTCAAAAAACAAAACAAAACAAACAAACAAACAAAAAAAACCCCAAACAATCCAGTTCAAAAATGGGCAAAGAACTTGAACTGACATTTCTCCAAAAAAGACAGACAAAATGGCCAATAAGCAAATGAAAAGATGCTCAATGTAACTTATTATTAGGGAAATGCAAATTAAAACGATACCATACCGTTAGGATGGCTACTATCAATGAAAATAGAAAATAGTATGTGTTGGTGAGGAGAAATTGGAACTTTTGCACATTGCTGGTAAAATTCTAAAATCATGCACCATCTGTGGAAAACAGCATAGAGGCTCCTCAAAAAATTAAACAGAATTACCATTTGATCCAGCAATTCTACTTCTGAGTGTTTACAGAAAATAATTGAAAGCAGGGCATTTGGACACTAATGTTCACAGCAACATTATTCATGATAGCCAAAGAATGAAAATAAGCCAAATGTCCACGGACTGACAGAGGGACAAACAAAATGCTGCATACACATGCAACAGAATATTATTCAGCCTAGGCCAGGTGTAGTGGCTCATGCCCGTAATCCCAGAACTTTGGGAGGCCGAGGTGGGCAGGTCACTTGAGGTCAGGAGTTCGAGATCAGCCTGGCCAACGTGGTAAAACCCCGTCTCTACTAAAAATACAAAAAATTAGCCAGGTGTGGTGGTGCACGCCTGTAATCCCAGCTACTTGGGAGGCTGAAGCAGGAGAATCACTTGAATCTGGGAGGTGGAAGTGGCAGTGAGCTAAGATGGCGCCACTGCCCTCCAGCCTGGGTGACAGAATGAGACTTCGCCTTAAAAGAAAAAAAAGAATATTTTCAGCCTTAAAAAGGAATGAAATTCTGATATGTGGTATAACATGGATGAACCCTGAAGATATTAAGTGAAATAAGCCAGTTACAAAAGGGTGACTATTATATGAGTCCACTTAATGAGGTACATCTTATAAATATGAGGAAACTCATGACTTAATGAGGTCTGAGTCAAATTTAAAGAAAGAGAAGGTAGGGCAGTGGTTACCAAGGGCTAGGGGGAGATGAGAATGGGAGTTACTGTTTCATGGGTATAGTTTCAGTACGGGATGATGAAGAGTTCTAGAGAGGGATGGGGGTGACTGCTGCACAACAATGTGGCTGTACTTAATCTACTGAACTATACGCTGAAAATGGTAAATTTTATGTTAGGGATATTTTGCCACAATTTTAAAAAGTAGGCAAAGGATATAAACAAGCAATTCACAGAAGACAAACTATAAGACCAATACACTCAAAAAAAAAAAGTGAAGGAGGTAGAACTACATGTACTAAAATGGACACTTCTCTAATGCTTATTATATTTGGCCATGTAAATCACAAACAAAACAAAACAATATACAAGCCAGGTGCGGTGGCTCATGCCTGTAATCCCAGCACTTTGGGAGGCTGAGGCGGGCGGATCACCTGAGCCCAGGAGTTCAAGACCAGCCTAGGCAACATGATGAAACCCTGTCTCTACTAAAAATACAAAAATTAGCCGGGTGTGGCAGCACGCACCTGTAGTCCCAGCTACTCAGGAAGCTGGGGTGGGAGGATAGCTTGAGCGCAGGAGGCTCAAGTGCGGTGAGCTGAGACTGCACCATTGCACTTCAGCTTGGGTGAGACCCTGTCTCCAAAAAAACAAAAAATCAAACACCAAAAAACCCCACAATATATCATTTCTATGGATGCACATAAATGTATTTAAATGCACAGAAAAAGGTCTGGAGGGATCCACCTATAGTTTCCTTCTGGGAAAGGTAGAGGGGAGCAGGGTTGGAGTATTGATAAAGGGGACTCTGGCCTTCTCTGTAATGCTTTAATTTTTTACAAAGAGAACTGATTCATGCATTACTTGTATAATTAAAAAATTATTTATAGGCCAGGCATGGTGGTTCATGCCTGCAATCCCAGCACTCTGGGAGGCCAAGGTGGGCAGACTGCTTGAGTTTAGGAGTTCGAGACCAGCCTGGGCAACAAGTCAAAACCCTGTCTCTACTAAAAATAAAAAAATTAGCCAGGAATGGTGGCATGTGCCTGCAGTCCCAGCTACTTAGGAAATGGAGGTGGGAGGATTGTTTTCGGCCTGGGAGGCAGAGGCTGCAGTGAGCAGAGGTTGCACCACTGCACTCCAGCCTGGGTTGACAGAATAGAACCCTGTCTCAAAAAAAAATTTTTTTTTCTAAAAAATCAAAGTAAGAGACATTGGAAAGCAGAAGCAGAGAAATGAGCAGACATTCTGGGACAGCAGCCCAAGGATGGCTCTGGCTCCCAGTACTGGGTCCCATGTGCACGGTAAGGGCAGTGCTGACAGGCCAGGGTTAGGATAATTCACGTGGACATTTCAGCTTTCACATAATCTTTGGAGTGGTGCTTTTAACCCATTTCCTATTTGCCCCAAGAATATTCCTGTCTCTAATCCTAATGTAACATCATATACATTTCTGTTGTATATGATGTAACATCATATACATTTCTGTTACATTAAGATTAGAGACAAGTTCTATTTAGAAATAACTCCCAAGAACATGGCTGGGTGTGCTGGCTCACCCCTGTAATCCCAGCACTTCCGGAGACCAAGATGGGAGGATCACTTGAGGTCAGGAGTTCGAGACCAGCCTGGTCAACATAGCAAGACCCCATCTCTATTTTTTAAAAAAATTTAAAAAGGCCAAGCATTTTAGCTCATGCCTGTAATCCAAACACTTTGGGAGGCTAACGCAGGTGCATCACTTGAGGTCAGGAGTTTGAGAGCAGCCTAACAAAACCCTGTCTCTACTAAAAATACAAAAACTAGCTGGGCGTGGTGGGGAGTGCCTATAATCCCAGTTACTTGGGAGGCTGAGGCAGAAGAATTGCTTGAACCTGGGAGGCGGAGGTTGCAGTGAGCCGAAATCCCACCACTGCACACCAGCCTGAGCGACAAGGCGAGACTCCGTCTCAAACATAAAAAAAAAAAGAAAAGAAAGAACTCCAAGAACAGTTTTTCTATTTTCACGTTTAAAATCAGTCAGACTTGCTTTGGCCTCAAAGAGCATGTTTACGTAAAATTAGATGAACGCTGGCAGCGAGTTGCACTTTTTTTTTTTTTTCTCTAAACCAGGAATGGGCTAAAAAAACAGGATAGTAAAAGAAATTATTCTCAAGTCGCCTCTTCTACAGAAAAGTACACTTGCTTCATAAAGATTTCTGTGTCAAGCAGAGCTCACATAGGAAAACACCTCAGTGAAGCACGATTTAGCTGAATGTTTTTTAAACCCAATTTTCTCCTTACAGTGACAGCAATATATGCTTATTGTTAAAAGTAGAAGTAGTTTTCCAAAACGATTTTAAAATTACCAATGACTGCACAATACCAAAATGGCTAATATTTCAGCATTTTTCAGTCCAGCCTTTATCTGTGGAAGTTCCTACCTTGATGAAGTCAAATTGTATTTTGTATGCTGCTCTTTAATATTACAGCCTATGCCCTCACCCAAATTTTTAAAAAATTTCATAAAAGTGATTCTTAATGGCTGTATGCCACCGATTACTTAATCATTTTCCCATCTAAGTGCTAGCCAAGCACTACCCTGCTTAGCTTCTGAGGTCTGATGAGATCGGGTATGTATAGAGTAGTATGGCATTAAGTGATTGCTTAATCATTCTGTTTGATATCTACATTCTTTCCCCTTTTTGCCATAATAATTAGATGTTGGAGATCTCTGTGCATACATCGCGCTCTGTATAATACCCATGGAACGTCAGCAGATTTTATGAAGAAAACAAAACAGTTCTACAGTCAAAAAAGTTGGTTTAAAAATGAAGTTGGGCTGGGTGCGGTGGCTCACGCCTGTAATCCCAGCACTTTGGGCTGAGGCAGGCAGATCATTTGAGGTCAGGAGTTCAAGACCAGCCTGGATAACATGGCAAACCCTGTCTCTACTAAAAATACAAAAATTAGCCGGGCGTGGTGGCATGCGGCTGTAATCCCAGCTACTAGGGAGGCTGAAGCAGGAGAATCGCTTGAACTCGAGAGGTGAAGGTTGCAGTGAGCTGAGATCGTACCACTGCAACAAGCTGGGCAACAAGGTGAGACTCTGTCTCAAACAAACAAACAAACAAACAAAGAAGTTGGGTAGGTTATTTCTGAAAACCTTTACCAAGCCAGTGTATATTGTGACTCTCCAAGTTGGGGGCCACCATTCAGTCATTCCTAAACTTGGTTGCTTTTAGACTCCATTTTTCAGGCTAGTTAAGTCACAATCTACGTTTCTAGCCATTTTCATAAGGCGGACTCCCAGACACAGAATTACTGGGTCAAATAGTACTGAATACTTCGCAAGCTATTATTGTGTAGTTCCAAACTGCTTTCCAGAAAAGTTGCACTAAGTTACACCCCTCTCAGCGGTGTATGGATGTATTGTCCAACAGCTGGACAGGGCTGCAAATTTGTTTTTTAATCTTTGCTGACAGGCAAAAAGTAGCATTTTTATTTTATTTATACTTCTTTGATAATGGTCAAGTTGAACATTTGAGTTTTTTAGCAATTTGTATTACTTCTTTTGTGAATAACCTAGGCTAATGGACTTTTTTTTTTTAAATGTTTTTGAAACCAGAATACTTCTTACAATACTTCTTATGTGGCAGTGGATTTCTTTCCTTCCTTAAAATGCTGTTATTAACTTGACAATTTATGGTTCCATCTTTGATTTTTTTTTTTTTTTATATGGAGTTTCACTCTTGTTGCTCAGGCTGGAGTGCAATGGTGTGATCTCGGCTCACTGTAACCTCCACTTCCTGGGTTCAAGTGATTCTTCTGCCTCAGCCTCCTGAGTAGCTGGGATTACAGGCACGCACCACCACGCCCGGATAATATTTTTTGTGTTTTTAGTAGAGACGGGGTTTCTCCATGTTGGTCAGGCTGGTCTCGAACTCCTGACCTCGTGATCCACCTGCCTTGGCCTCCCAAATTGCTGGGATTACAGGCATGAACCACTGCACTCAGCCTCCATCTTTGATTTTTAAAAAATACCTGTTTGTATCTACTGGGCTCTTGGTGTTTTTTATTCATAATGATCTATATGATTTTTTCCTACAATAAGGCTATTAACTCTTTGCCTGTCATCTGGACTTCTTTGAAAAGGTACATAATCCCCTTGAAATTCCCATCTAGATACCTTTCAGAAGGTGCAACAGTGTTAAGGATAAATACTGGTGTGAGGGGGGCTCCTTCTGATCCCTGGTGTACTGGGAGGTGAACTCTTCCAGCCACCTGATGAAAGCAGGACAGGCAGACAGGCCTTGAAGCAGGGAGTTCATGAAGCAGGTGTTCCCTAAATTAACAAGGCCAGGCACGAGCCCTAAAAAAAAGCAGGGGGAAGAAGAGAACAGCATATCATATTTGATCCATTTCTCTCCCATTTGGGACCCAGAGTTCCTGCGCTGTGGCCTTAAATTTGGAATCCCGATCCAAGAAGATCCTTATCCACAGAGATCTGGGCCAAGGCTTGGTTCTAGTACTGCTCCGCAGACTGTAAGCACAGAAGAAAAGGTCCCCTTTGTGTGTTATTTTTGAAACCTATCATGGTATCCAGCACAGCTTGGTTCTTCCTAAATGTACAAAACACTTAGTAACCATCTCCTGTCTTTTTCTCTTCCTCATTCTCCCCTACATGCTCTCTTTCTTCTTTAACCAGAAACCAATGTTTCTGAGAACAGAAGAAAACAATTGTTCTGTTGTTACTTCCCCAGGACAATGATTCTGTTCTTATCTTAACAATCACTGGGGAAGACTCCACTATACCAATTCTGATCAGTCTTTCTGCAGAGATCAACAAAATTGAATATACTTCTCTCTTCTGCTAGCAATCGTTTTAAAAAACTTCTTATTCTCAAAGTTCTCAAAGACACACAAAAGGAGGGAGAATGTATAATAAACCTCAATTATAACTGTCCCCAGATTTAACAATGATCAAATTTCGCCACATTCTTTTCTTTCTTTGCTGAATTTTAATCAATGTTACATAGTGCAACACTTTCAAAAGGGAGCATTTAAAAAAAATAAGAAAATAGTTTTTTAGTAATGAAGGCACTAACTTGAAATTTTTACCAGTTATTAGCAAGCTAGTCTGAGAGAACACAAATGTATGATGTAATTGGTCAGTTTGTACCACTGAAAACTGTAATTGCCATATTAATGAGAACACTTCTTAGACAATTACGCCGCTTGACATTTTTCATTACAAAGCATGCCTCAAACTCCAGTCTGGAGAGGGGCTGAAATAGAAATCTTTTTACTACAGGGTATCAAATAACAACTAATGGTAAAAGTACTGTTTCAAAACCTGAAGTCCTAATTTTAAAGATACAGAGAACAAATACGACCAACCTCCCAACCTTCTTTGTACTGTTTTCAGATAACAGGGATCTGGGTCAAGTCTACAGACCATAATGCAGTGTTCTCATCCTTACCTTTTCTACGCTTCTTTCTTTCTGTAATGGGACCCCAAATAACATATATTCCTGCTGCAAGAGCAGCAGCAATTCCACCTATAACTCCCCAGTTCTTCATGACTTTATATCTAAAAAAGAAAACAAGTTTACTGTCCTCCCTCATCACAAACACAATAGGCGAATATACAGATATAGACAGAATAACATTTTGTCAAAATAACCCACCAAATACCTAATTTCAAGTTAAAGTAATATATAGTTATAGGATTACATCTTAAAAATCAGGATGTTTAGACATTAGGATTTAAAATCTAAGTCAGCCGGGCACATTGGCTCATCCCTGTAACCCCAGCACTTTGGGAAGTCAAGGCAGGAGGATCCCTTGAGCCCCAGAGTTTGACACTAGCCTGGGCAACATGGTGAAACCCTGTCTCTACTAAAAACACAAAAATTAGCTGGCCGTGGTGATGTGCACCTGTAGTCCCAGCTACTTGGGAGGCTGAGGCGGGAGAATCACTTGAATCTGGGAGGCAGAGGTTGCAGTGAGCTGAGATCGTGCCATTGCACTCCAGCCTGGGCAAAAGAGCAACACTCAGTCTCAAAAAAAAAAAAAAATATATATATATATAGAGAGAGAGAGAGATATATATATAAATAAAAATATTTATTGAATGACTGAATACTGGAGAAAATATACAGAAATGAATTTCTCTTTTAGAATATTAGACAGGAAAGGGGCACACATACAATGGTATAAAAGAGCTGAATGTTTATAAAATTAAAGATTTCCTAACTACTGGCTTGACTTAAACACTGGTTATGCTTTTGCTACAAATTAAGAAATTTCACCAGAAATTTAAAACATTGTTTTTATACAAAGTTATATATTTCTACAAAATAAGACAAACCATCTATGTGTATATAGCTATGTAATGTGTATCTGCATATGTGTTACACACGTATATATACGTGTTTGTATGTGCGTGTGTGTAATACATTATTATCCCAATATTTGGATCATGTGAATATTGTTTTGATTTCAGTTCAGTAAACATTAACTTGGTGAAGAGTCACTGGTGATAATAGTGACTCTGCTTTACAATAATCAGCATTTCTTAGTATCATAGCTGATAGCTGAATTTCAGATAAATATTTGTTTTCCAAGACATAGCCAACAGAATATGCACCAAACTTGGTTAAGAAAGTGGGATTACATTATTCTGGTTCAGTCCTGGCTTTGCTACTTCATTTGGCATCATTTCACCTTCTAAGCCTCAGTTTCCTCATCTGTACGATGGGGACAATCCATAAGACCTACCTCATAGGGTTGTGGTGAGGATTAAATAAGTGTGAAGGTATAGAGTACATAGTAAGAACTTAATAAATGTTAGCTGCTACAAATTAAGCATTACAATCTCAGGTTCATTCATGACAGCTATTCCCTCTCTTTTGTTCGTTTGTTTTTTTTGTTTTTTTGTTTTTTTGTTTTGAGACAGTATCTTGCTCTAGTGCCCAGGCTGCACTGCAGTGGTGCCATCTCGGCTCAACACAATCTCCACCTTCCGGGCTCAGGCGATCCTTCTGCCTCAACCTCCCGAGTAGCTAGGACCACAGGTGCACACCACACGCTCAGGTAATTTTTAAATTTTTTTGTAAAGACAGGCTCTCACTATGTTGCCCAGGCTGGTCTCAAACTCCTGAGCTCAAGCAATCTGCCTGCCTCAGCCTCCCAAAGTGCTGGGATTACAGGTGTAAGCCACCATGCCCAGCCAGTGAAAGCTATTCCTGAAGTTTCCTAATGCATCACTGTGCTTTTACACAATACATGAGTTCACAAAAGTGCTTGGAAAGGTTACAAAGGACTGTCATGGAAGTGCTAAAGCACTTTACCAGTGCTTAAAATCCCCCCGTCAAACACTAATATTTAAGGGTGCATACTCTATGCCAGGCACTGTGACAGTCTTACCTCATTTTTTAAACAATCCCACAGAAGCAGATTATACCATCACTTTCATTTTTATAACTGAGGAAACTAAGAGACCAACTTGGTCACAGTGAGTGAACGAACATGGCTCTGAATCATGCGTGTCTGTCTCCCAAGTCTGTACTTAAAACCACAAAGTTCAAGACAGAAACTGAAGGAAACAGTGTCAAGGGGATGGGAGAGAGGACTTGTCCATGACTTTAGCAGCATAAGGAAAAAATACCCAGGGACAACTGGCGACTTTGGAAACTCCATTCCTCTGCAAAATGACATCACGAGAAGAGTGGTGGGGCCTGGGGTGAAAAGATCTGGCTTCTCCTCCCAACTCTGCTATGAGATCAGCTATGGGGCCACACTTCCCACCTACGGAATGGGGACACTGGACAGGATAGGTATCGAGGCCTTTTAGCCCTGGAATAATAAGCTCTTTAAACCTGCTCCAGTTCCAGAGGAAGCCGACCTGAGCAACAGGTCTCAGTCATTTGGGGTCAGCAGTGGGGGAGGGGGTACTCAGTTCTGAAGCCTGGAGCCCTTGGGAGGGTGAATAAGGAAATGGGGGCCCTGACAGGATTGGGAACCCAGGCAATCGATGAGTCCTAACAAGAACGGAAGGATTTAACAGGAACAAGCAGCCTTAACAGGTTAAAGAGGCCCTGACCAATTTAGAGACCCTTGCAAAACAAGGGCCTTTACTCACACTAATAACATCAGGGACTCAGACAGAAGTGGGGATCCATATTAGACTAGAGGGCGGGCTAACAGGAATAGGGGGCGGTACTAACAAAACGCGGGGCTTGCAGGCCCGGGGCACTTACAGGACTGGAAGAACCACGCCAAGATTGGGGAACCCCTAGCAGATATGATTGGGGGACCCAGAAGGATTGGGGGTATACTAGAAGGATTGAGGGGTCTTGGCAGGCCTAGGAGGCACTGAAAGAACTGAGGGCACTGACAGAATTAGGGGCCCTGACAAGACTGGAGGGCCCTGGATGTCCTGGGAACAATGACAGGAGGGGGAGGGACAGACGGACCCGGGGAGTGCAGACAGAATTGTTGTTGCCGAAGGACTGGAGCCCGTCAGTCCTCCCACCTACAGGCCCAGGCCTCCAACCCTAAAGGACGCAGAAGCTCCCGGAATGCCCGCGCGGGCCCTGGAGACCCCAACTAGGGCATGAAAAAGCCGTCACGGGCCCAAGCTGGGGACCCTGTCCCAGCCTCTTCGGCCGCCCCGCCCCCCAAAATCTCACCTGACGGCCGCCCCGGTCCTCAGGAAGCGCTGGATGGCCCTGTCGGCCGCGGTCATCGCCGCCTCGGCCCGTGAGCTCAGCATTGCAGCCGCACCGGAGGCCTGAAGCCACCTCCGCCGCTACTGCCGCCCCCGCCGCCGCCCGACCGAGGGCTACGAAGGTTCCCGAGACAGCGGAACCTACGGCCGCAGGCCCAGTACCTCGGGGGAAGGTAGACCGCAGGACAGGGCCCGGGGGACCGGAAGTAGCTGCCTCCGGAGAGCAATAGCTGACGGACCACGTCCTTTCTTTCTTTTCCCTTAGCAACAGGCCCTAGCGTCGGTTGCTAAGCGAGGCTCAGCTGCCTGGGGTGCTTGGTTTTCAGATTTGCTTAGGCTCCATTCATAAATACAGATGGCACACTTCTAGGATGGACCCTGGGTCATGATTTGAATTTTTCCGTGTGGAGAAGGAGGCCAACGGCCGAAAGTCGGGTCAGGCCTTTGCTATAATTAGTTATTATTGTGGCCAGAGTGGAAATAGGTCGCAGAGGAAGGAACTTTAATGAGCATGAGGCCCATCTCTGACGATATCAGTAGAGAAATCAACGTCTTTAATAATAATAGCTAACAAACTTATTGTTTATTTAGGTGCCAGGTATAGAGCTAAGTATGTCACATACATTATTTACGTTTAATATTCACACCAACTCTAACATTACCCACATTTTACATCCCAGGGAACCCAAGAAATTCGAAGAAATAGTAAGTTTTTTGACACAACTTGTAAGTGGTGAAACAGAGATTGGCAGTTGAGTGTGTATATCCCCAGAATAGCACTCTCCAACAGAAGTATACAGGAGCCACATAGGTAATTTTACATTTTCTAGTAGCCGCATTAAAGTAAAAAGCAAGAGGTAGGCCAGACGCCGTGGCCCACGCCTGTAATCCCAACACTTTGGGAGAATGAGGCTGGTGGATCACCTGAGGTCAAGAGTTCGAGACCAGCTTGGCCAAAGTGGTGAAACCCCGTCTCTACTAAAAATACAAAAACTAACCGGGCGTGGTGGCAGGTGCCTGTGATTCCAGCTACTCAGGAGGCTGAGGCAGGAGAATTGCTTGAACCCTGGAGGTGGAGGTTGCACTGAGCCAAGATCATCCCACTACACTCCAGTCTGGGTGACAGAGTGAGATTCCATCTCAAAAAAAAAAAAAAAAAGCAAGAAGTAAACTTAATTTTAACCGTATATTTTCCTTGACCCAATATGTTCAAAATATTGGGGCAGGTTCAGTGGCTTATGCCTATAATCCCAGCACTTTGGGAGGCCAGGTGAGAGGATGGCTTCAGTCCCAGAGTCCAAGACCACCTGGGCAACATAGCAAGAATCCATGGCTACCAAAAACAAAGAAAAGAAAAACAAAAAATGTTGTCATTTCTATGTGAAAATTATAGATGAGATAATTTACATTTTCTTTTTTTTTTTTTTTTTTGAGACGGAGTCTCGCTCTGTTGCCCAGGCTGCAGTGCAATGGCACAATCTCGCCTCCCAGGTTCAAGCGATTCTTCTGCCTCAGGCCTCCTGAGTACCTGGGATTACAGGTGCACACCACCACGCCCGGCTAATTTTTTTGTTTTTAGTAGATACGGGTTTCACCATGTTGGTCAGGCTGCTTCTGACTTGTGATCCACCCGCCTTGGCTCCCAAGAGTGTTGGGATTACAGGCGTGAGCTACCGTGCCCGGCCCATTATTTTTTCGTTTTTTTGGTACTAAGTACCTCTCAATTTGGAGTACCCACTTTTTCATGTGCTAAATAGCCACAGTGACCAGCAGCTACCGTATTAGACAGCACAGTTTTTAAAGCATTAGGCCAGTGAGATTTTCCCTCCCTTTCAATTGCTTTCTCCAACCCCAGACTGAGTAATTGCACCTCATGCTGGGGATGGTGTTGCATACCCGTAGCCCCAACTACAGAAACAAAACAAAAGAAAAATCAATGCGTTAGATCAGTGGTTCTCAAAGTTTTGTTCTCAGGATCTCTTTGTATGCTTAAAAAGGACTGAGGGATTTTTTATATCTAACTGTACCCTGGTTAGAAATTAAAAATTGAGAAATTTTTGTTTCCTTAAAATTGAGTTATATAGCATATCTGGTTTTTTTTTTTTTTTTTTGAGACGGAGTCTCGCTCTGTCCACCCAGCTGGCGAGTGCAGTGGCACGATGCTCGGCTCCACTGCAAGCTCCGCCCTCCTGGGTTCAAGTGATTCTCCCTCTTCAGCCTCGAAGTAGCTGGGACTATAGGGCCCCCGCCACCTCGCCTGGCTAATTTTTGTGTTTTTGGTAGAGAAGAGATTTCACCATAATAGCTAGGCTGGTCTTGAACTCCTGACCTTGTGATCCACCCACCTCAGCCTCCCAAAGTGCTGGGATTACAGGTGTGAGCCACCTTGTCCGGCCCAGCGTATCTTGTTTTATTGCACTTCACTTTATTGTGCTTCACAGATACTGCATTTTTACAGTTCAAGGTATGCGGCAACCTCACTACAGCAAGTCTATTGGGTCCATTTTCAACAGCATGTTCTCACTTCGTGTCTCTGTACCACATCCTGGTAATTCTTGCAATATTTCAAACATTTTTTTTCTTTTCTTTTTTGCAATAGTGCCTTACTCTGTCATGCAGGCTGGAGTGCAGTGGTGCAATCTTGGCTCACTGCAACCTCCGCCTCCCGGGGTTCAAGCGATTTTCGTGCCTCAGCCACCCAAATAGCTGGAATTACAGGCACGCACCACCATGCCTGGCTAATTTTAGCATTTTTAGTAGAGATGGGGGTTTCACTGTGTTGGCCAGGCTGGTTTCGAACTCCTGCCCTCAGGAGATATGCTTGCCTTGGCCTCTCAAAGTGCTGGGATTACAGGCGTGAGCCACCGCACCTGACCCCAAAGTTTTTCATCATTATTATTATACCTATTAAGGTGATCTGTGATTAGTGATCCTTAATGTTACTATTGTAATTGTTTTTGGGTGCCACAAACAGCATTCATATAAGACAGCCAACTTAATCAGTATTGTGTGCGTTCCAAGTGCTCCGCTAACTGGCTGTTCCCCCCTCTCTCTCCCTCTTCTCAGGTCTCCCTAGTCCGTAAAACACAACAATATTGAATTTCAGTCAGTTAATAACCCCACGATGGCCTCTACATGTTCAAGGGATAGGAAGAGTCACACATCTCTCACTTTAAATCAAAAGCTAGAAATGATTAAGCCTAGTGAGGAAGGCATGTCAAAAGTCAGGATAGGCTGAAAGCAAGCTTTCTTGCACCAAACATTTAGCCAAGTTGTGAATTCAAAGGAAAATTTCTTGAAGGAAATTAAAAGTGCTACTCCAGTGAGCACAATGTAAATTAAAAATCCTAAGCGCCCCCAGCTGACTGAATGGGCCCCCTCTTGGCCAAGGGGAACTTCAAGAAACCTTAAACAGTGAGTTCCCGGCGATGATGAGATGGGAGGTCAGACATGCCTCCATATACCCACTTCCGTTAGAAGTTTAGACACAACAACTGACCAGCATTAATGTTAAAACAGTGATCATAAGATAGACAGAATGGACTCTTTGTGCCAATAAGATACCAAATTATGAACAGGATCTAAGGTCATGCCAAGCAAGGATTACATTACACACCCCTGCACTTAAAGAATAAACTGTTTTACATCAGGTTTTTCTTTTTCTTTCTTTCTTTCTTTCTTTTTTTTTTCTTTTTTTTTTTGTCTTTCGAGACAGAGTCTTATTCTGTCGTCCAGGCTGGAGTGCAGTGGGGCGATCTTGGCTCACTATAACCTCCACCTCCCAGGTTAAAGCGATTCTCCTGCCTTAGACTAGTGAGTAGCTGGGACTACAGGCACGTGCCACCACACCTGGCTAATTTTTGTATTTTTAGTAGAGACAGGGTTTCACCATGTTGGCCAGGCTCCTGACCTCAGGTGAATCAAGATATGGAACCACCATTGCCCACAAGTGACCCCCTGGCCCTTTGTACTCACCCCCCTCCACCCACCTTCAACCCCTGGCAACCACTGATGGAAACAGAAATATTTAAAACCCAACAATACTGAAGCATGCCAAGTGCAATGGCTCACACCTGTAATCCCAGCACTTTGGGTGACTGAGGGTGAGTGGACCCCTTGAACCCAGGAATTTGAGATCAGTCTGGGCAACATGGTAAAACCCTGTCTCTACAAAAATACGAAAGTTAGCTGGGTGTGATGGCTCACACCTGTAGTCCCAGCTACTTGCGAGGCTGAGGTGGGAGGATTGCTTGAGCCCAGGAGTTAGAGGTTGCAGTGAGCCATGATTGTGCCACTGCACTCCACCACACAGCCTAGCCAACAGAGCAAGACTATGTCTCAAAAAGCAAAAGCAGCAGACATTCTATTAGACGTCAGACCCGTGATTACATCACTCATTGTACAGCCTCTGGAAAACTCCAAGATACACTGGTGAGTGAATGGGAATGGGAAAGGCTTAGTATTATTACGAAAAATTCTGAACCTCCTGAAAGGGTCTTGAGCACCCTTAGGGAGCCTGCAGACTACACTTTGGGAACCACCACTTCAGCCTGCTGGGTGAATACTAAAATTAGTCTAGCTAATTTTTTGTAGAGGCAGGGTTTCACCATGTTGCCCAGACTGGTCTCGAACTCCTGGGCTTAAGTGATCCACCCGCCGTGGCCTCCCAAAGTGCTCTCTCTTTAAATGCCACACTTACCCAACACACTCTGTGTAAGCCCCTAGAGGAGAGGGCTGGCCCAGAGGATGGACCCTAGTTTGCAACACTTAGAATATGCAGAGCTTGCTTCCTTTTGTCCTCAGCGCTGGGTCTTAGTGTCTGGTCTGGAAAACAAGATGCTTTCCCATGAACATGTATAAAATATTTGTGTTTGTCCACAGGTAAAAAGAATAAACACAGAAAGATTCAAACACTCACAGGATTTCTGTTTATTTTTTCCTTATGCGGTTGTTTTGGAGGCCAAAACAAAACAACAACAAATGTCTCAAAATCATTTAAATTCCACCTCACACGGCATGTCAGAACTGTCTGTTGTAGCTCTTGTTTTTTTCCATTGATCCTCTGACCATGATCTCAATTATGTCGGCAGCACATTCTTAGCACTGATTCATCCTTCTCCCCAGACAAGTTTGTGGG